TACCTGTAATGGCCAGTTGGCCACTTCTGCAGTACCTGATTCTTGTACTACTTGATGGCCAGACTCAGAGCAGATGCAGTAGGGCCCTTGGAGTGCAGTAATCTGAATGTTCCAGCCTAGGAAAAAAAGGAAGGAGAAACAAGTGGAGAATTTTTCTCTTATTGTAATTCAGTCTCATTGCTTAATTTTAACTGTAAAATTGTAAATTTTAATTGTAAAATGCTGAAAAATTAGTGAAGCTTTGCAGTTAAGAAGCTGTATATATGTTATTTTACAAAGTTCTTGGCTTTTATCTTTTGGATTGAGTAATTTCAAGCTTGGGGGGCTCCTGTTTTGGCAGGTAAATTACTTTATATGATTGCTAGTCTTCAAGAAGGCAAACTTTGTACTTTGGGGAGTAGTTGTACTCCTTTTCTGGGATACATACTCCAGAAAATGAATGCAGTTGTGAAATGGTGGCTCTATTTTCAAGTTACTAAATCAATGGCTGAGTAAGGTGGTATACAAGTAACATCAGGCCCTGATGGGAAGTGAATGGCAATAGAAAACTACTGCTCTGGTGTTTTCATCTGTAGGGAAGAAGTATCAGGCATCTGGAGTAAGGCATTAGCAATGCATTTTATCTTTGGAAGATAACTTGATATCTTGGCCTGATCAATTGACTGATGTTAATATGGACCTTGACAAATTAGAGACATGGGCAGTCACCAACCATATGGAGTTTAACAAGGGTAAGTGCCGAATTCTGCACCTGAGATGGGGCAACCCTGGTTGTGTGTATACACTGGGAAACCAGAGGCTGGAGAGCAGCACTGCGGAAAAGGACCTGAGGGTCCTGGTTCATGGCAAGTTGAATATGAGTCAGTGGTGCCCTGGCAGCCAGGAGGGCCAACCCTGTCCGGGGGGGCATCAGGCAAAGCATGGCCAGCTGGTTGAGGGAGGGGATTGTCCTGCTCTGCTCTGCACTGGGGCGGCCTCACCTTGAATATTGTGTGCAGTTTGGGGCACCACTATATAAAAAAAGCTACTAGAGAGCATTCAAAGGAGAGCTGCAAAGATGGTGAAGGGTCTGGAGAGGAAGCTTTATGAGGAGTGGCTGAGGGCACTTGGTCTGTTCAGCCTGGATAAATGGAGACTGAGGGGAGACCGCATTGCCACCTTCAATATCCTCATGAGGGAAAGTGGAAGGGCAGGTACTGATCTCTTCACTCTCATGACGAGTCACAGGACTTTTGAGGAAATAGCTGAGTTGGGGGAGGTTTAGGTTGGATCAGGAGAAGGTTTTTCACCCAGGGAAGTGGTCACAGCACCAAACCTGTCTGTGTTCTGGAAGTGTTTGGACAATACTGTCAGGCATGTACTGTGATTCTTGGACTTGATGATCCTGATAGGTCCCTTCCAATTTAGCATAATCTGTAATTCTGTGGAGGTTATCAAATCAATTAAATGTGTGCCAGGCTATATTATTCCTTCATTGACTATAACCAGGCACCATCCAATAGTTCAAGATAGGAAATCTGTTTATCATTTTTCTGAAACTCCAGGGTCAGGTATTCAAATGCTTAGTGAAAAGTGACTTTTGCATTCAGAAGAGGTGTCGGTTTAGGCTTGAACTGACTCATGGCACCTTCACGTGGCCTCCCATGGAACTGCAGTTGGAAACGACTTATGTTGCTATCTCAAGAGTTGAGGCTGCATTCTGTTGAATTCCCTGGAAGAATTTACAGTAGCTGCTTGCATGACAGAGTAGACCAATGGACCCATTATGGGCTGGCCCTTCGAGGTGGATGACCCTTCCTATGATACAGTATAGCAAATGCCTCAGATCTTATGTTGTAATAAATTATAGGAAGAAGTGGTTCTAGGAGTCTGTTCTAAGGGGAATACAGATACCAGAAACTTAAGTTACTGCTTCCAGGTAGCATCATGATAGTATTTTTGAAGTAGACTACTTAAATATTCATCTAGTATATTCTGGGGTTTTGCTACTTAGTTTGAGAAGCCTAAGGATAGAAAGCCTCCATGGGTTGAGGGGGAAGAATAATTTCAGCTATCATCTAGGTACTTGATTAAAACAAAATATAATTAAATGTTAATTAATACCATACCTGCCATCTATTCCTCATGTGTGGTTCCCACCTCCATTGTAAGTGATTCTCTCTTAACTGGCTTAAGCTTCAGAGACATCCCGATTTCTTATTGTATTTCAATGCATTGTTAAAATACCTAGATGTAAAAGAGGTGGAAGTAAAATAATGAGTGGATTGTTACCAATGACTATCATATAATAGGATTTGACTTTTTCTTACATTTATCTTCAACTTTTGCCCAATAAAATTCTTTACTCAGATGGTGACTTGGTGTGTCATTTCTTCCCCATTCCCTATACCTCCCGTTTCCCATCTTCTGCTTACATTTAACTGTATGTCAAAATTCTGTTCTTAAGATGAAAATCCTCTGGGTGAGTCAGGATCAAGTGTCTCTAATTCAAGTATATAAATGGGCTTTTATAGAAAAAGTAATGAGGGTGCATAAGATTAAACCATTCTTCTTAAACATGTCAGAAACTGTGTTTAGGTCTAAGGATGTAAATTGAAGGAAGATTTTGTAGATCAGAGTTCATTGACTTCAGTACAGAGCCTTGTATTATCTTTCAGAGAACTCTTTGATTTGGAGGTTTGTAAAGCACTTGTTTCACTTAGCCCCACTAAAAAAAAGGATAATCCAACTTATTGCACTTTAGAGGTATTAAGTGGAGAAAGTTAAAATTATGCATGTAACATAACCTTTCTGCCTCACATGTAAACCCCAATGTTTTGTAAGTGAAGCCAGTGGCTGGTTTATGCTGCCAATATGGTGTTATGTAAATAACTTGGGAATTGCCAGTGGTTTTGTGTAGCAGTAGTGCTGGTGCAGCACTGACTAAAAGTACCTTTCCTTTATGATTGTGTTTGGCTTCTGAGAAATATTTTTTTTCTGCAGCACAGACAAATGGTGACAGGACCAGAGACTTAAACACAGATACTTCTGCCCCTGGCCTCCACTGTGTTAAGAGAAGCACACCATACTTAATGGGAATAGGTGATGGAGAAATAGTCAGTCAAAGATTGTGACATCTTTCACTCGATGGCTGAGAAGCTTAATAGCTTCATTTTGCTTCATGGATAGACTCAAATGTATTTTATCCTTCTGCCATCAAAATAGTAACTTGTCTGTTGTGAATAAATTTGTAAATTAATTTTTGTGTACTTTTCCTATACTTCTGTTTGAATTTAATCATGTGGAAAAGTAGAAGTGGATATATGACTTCATATTGATGTACTTCTAGCAAATGAATAGTAATAAAATAAAAACTTATCCTAAAGCATGGCTTATAGAGTTCTTCAGTTCTTTAGGTAAACTGTGTATTCCATTAAATCTTTCAACTACTTTGCTCACAATGGTTTTTAAAAAAGTATTCTGTTTTATAGTAACTATCACATTCCATGTTGTTTCACAATACTTTAAAAAGTATTTTTCAAAAATAATCTTTAAATCCTAAGTTCTACTCTTCCATCATATATTTAAGTGAAAGAATACTCTAAAGTTAATGGAGCAAGACAGGGTGGGTTTTTTTTTTTTTATTTGAAGAAGGTGTTAGTGCAGCAGTATGGGGAGAGATGTTAGTAAACCTTCAGTATGGCTTTTCGAGAAGCTACAGTGTTGTTAGAGCTCCAGTTTTAATTTCTTTGTCATAACTCATACTTGTCCCTAGAACTTTTTTATTTCACCTCTGAAAAGCCATATGGAGGGTTTTATTTTAAAAATACCTATAACTGTTGACTGTATCTGGAGACTTAGCTGAGATGAAGTTCTGAAGTTAAGCCCTGCTTTACTGCCACTGGATTTTCCTCTTGAGTTGGTTACTTCTGTACAACCTGGAAATAAAGTCCTAGTAGTTGGATAGCTTGCTCTGTCATCCAGCTAGTTAGCTTCTGTAATTACATCTTAATATTTTGTTCTGAAGGGCTGAACTGACTCTTAACCAACACTTACATTGTTACTTGATATTGTAAAGTAGATGATACTGAAATAGCATTGGTGTGGCAGGCAGGCTACTTGTCCTAGATAGTGATCAGACTAATACAGTTGTCTCTTTTTTGCACTGCTCTTGGCTTTCTTATTTGAGAGAATGTGGGGAAGAGGATATTAACCAAGTTATAAGCACTAAAAAGATCATCAAGACAGATTTCTATACACAAAAGGAAAATTATTGGGGGAAGCTTAAATTTTGAGCAGTTTTGCACAATGAATGGAGAGGGAGAAAGCTCTAGAAGAGATTGTTTAGAAATCTAGGAGAGAAACAAGAACATTGAGGAATTGGTATTGACAACATGAAATAAATAATAGATTGGAAGAACAGTCTAGAGATGAGGATTGTGGGACAAAGGGAAAAATAATTCAACGTAAAGTGTATATGTAATATATAATCTCTGGAATAGTGAAGGATGGGATATGAAGAAATATGCTTAATTTTCAGACAGATCAAGACTGGACATAATTCAATAAATTTTATTATCCATAAGAAATTCTATGTAGCTTATTCTTAATACTGTGTAATGATATATTTTCATCTTAAGCAGTTGTGGAATCTTTATCTAGGATGTCAACATGGCTTAAATGTAGATCATGTCTTGATATTCTTTACTCTGTAGTTTTGGTCAAAACCAGACTGCATATCATGGGATGAAGGAAAAAATTCTGTAGTTAGTGTGTGTATATAATGGGGAAGGTAGTTACTGGAATATCTTAAACTGAAGCTACAAATGAGTTCAAATTAATTGTTACTGTTGTCCTCTTAAATGAACCAATGAAGGACTTATCTGTTGTTCCATGTATATTGGCTACTCTGTATCCTGCAAAAGTTACTAATTTGCAGCTTTAATTATCAACAACATGGACATTGAAATTTGCCTAGCTCTTTTGTATAAATAACACTGGTTTTTGTTTTTTTTCCCCAGTTTCTATGGAGATTTTGGACCTTTAAATTTGGCAATGTTATACAGATACTGCTGTAAACTAAATAAGAAACTAAAGGTAAGCTGTGTTTAAAAACAATGTTCCTATTTTTTTTGTGTTTTGAAATTGAAATAAAATTATACAGTTTGAGAGTGGTGATTAGGTGCTCATTATCTAGATGGTGACTGCTAAACTTGAAGGATGTTCTTTGTTCCGAGTTCTTTTCTCTCTAAAGTGTGAAAACAATTAATATACCTTCATTATTCCTTATGAGATGAGGCACTGAAGGCTGTGTTCACCTTTTTTCATAACCTTACACTTTAAAGACAATAGTAATAAAAACCACTGGTTATGCTCCATCCCAGCCAGACAAGTACACTGAACATGTAGCTGTGGGCTTAACCTATTCTCCAAATACCTGTGCAGAAGTGATTTGCAGCATGTATAGGAAATCTATCAATTTCAAGAAATGAAACATATTCTAATTGCTAGGTACTAATTACTGTAACTTCTGGGCAAGTAGTGAGGAGACCATCCACTAAATATAACAGGTTTTAAATCTTTATAATAGAAAATATTAGAACTGTTACTGACAGAAGGGGAAAATGGGACTACAGAAGTGATAACTTGGGCTACTGTTCAGAGGGTCCCTTTATCAAAAATGGCATTATGTTTTGCGGCTAATGTTTGCTGCACAAACATTTGCTGCACAATGCACTTAGGCAAATTGATTCATGCTATCTGCTACTTTCAGGGACATGCTGAATTGCACATGTTCTTAAGGGGAGGTTCTCCAAATTCAGGGATTTATGGAGTTGCTATAAACTTTTTGCAAAAAAAGCGCTTCTAGTGAAAATGTACATTGCTTCTTAACTCTAAAAAATTACTTATAAAGAGAAAAAGTTAAACTCTACTATTTCTAATTTTGTTAGCGTGTGTTCATATTGGGAAAACATTGGATTTGTCATTTCACTAAAGAGAACTTATAACTATGTTATCATCCCATTTTCCAGTGCCAGTATCCCATTCAAACACGTGACCAAAGATGCTCACTCAGTAGGAATCTGGTTTTTTTACCTTAATTCTGCTGTTGTTGACCTTTTATTTGAGTTAAAAGTTGGAGTGTGCTTGCTCTGTGAAGCAGTTACTCCAGAGAAGAACCAATAGTAAAGCTACTATTCTAACTTCCCTGTGCCCTTGGAAACAGGAGAGACCAGTTCTGTCTTTTCCAGATTCAGATTAAGACTGCGATCAGTTTGGGACACGAATACAGTCTCATGTGTTACTGTTGAAGTGTATCTTCCTGCTTTTATGGTTGAACCAGAATGCCTTCAATCCCGAGCCTAGGTACCCACAGTTTCACCCAGGAAATAAGTATACAACTAATAAATATCCTGGGATTGTTTTTAATGGTTCAGTATTGAACAGGAATGTCTCTACAGGCTTTATTCTTCTTGTAAGGCCATCATCTATGTTGAATGAGGCAAGCATGTCATCAGAAGTGGCTTGGATATTATCATGGAAAAAATAAACAAGGGAGCTAAATTGGAACTGAACTATTGACTTTGATATTCGCAGAGCTGATTTAACAAACTGTGATGTCACTTTAATGCAACATTTACATTTGTTGAAAAAGCAAACATACTGACACTGCTAGGTGAAGATTACAGCTGATGAGAAGTCTCAGCCCCTCTGGGAGGAGGTGCTGTTTGTTGCTGCCAGAGGCTAATTCCAAATAGGTTAATTTAAACTACTAGTGTATAAGAGGGAAGAGTAACCTGATAATGCAACCACTTGAAAGTAATACCTGAAATCAAACAGCTAAAGCTTGGAATACTACCAGAGTGGTATAGAAACTTACAGTTGAATAGATTCCAGTCTGGCTGATTGGCACTACCCCTGGGGTAGGCCAGTACAGCTAATGTAAGCTTTGCTCTTCTAATAGTTAAAATATATGCCAGACTGCGACCTATTTTAGATACTACCTGCAGAGAGTAAGTAGTCTTGTAAGACCAAGTCCTAGGGCTGAAGTACGTACATGTACCTGCATGTATCAGAAGCACACATCTGCAGGCCTTGCTAAATGACTGCTGCTCAGCTTTGCTCATCAAGAATTATGGATTCACAGTTTCTACCCTTCTACACCTCATCTTCCCATGTCTGCCCTTCACAAGTGTCCCAAAGAGGAGTTCTGAGGCTTGAAGTAGCGTGTGTAAGACGGAAGCTCGGGTCACGAGAGAGAGTCCTGTTGGGGCAACCTGCTGTTTGCATATCCTTGCATTAAGAGTTCCCTGTGACCAGCAGCAGGAAGTGTTTGATCATAGAAAGTAAAAGATGCTGCAGATTATGATGGGATGGTTGCTATTGCCATACTACAACGCTTTTGGGACCCTGAGGCAATGACAGTGCTTAAGCCCGGATGACTTGATATATACTTGCTTGGGTAAGCACTTCAGTGCTTTTCTGAAGAAAAGAGTCTTGAAGTGTGGCACAAAAAAAAATTACAAACGTGATGGATTTTGTATGGATACACTGTCTCAAAAGGAATTAAGACTTAGACTTGTTAATTTTGAAACTTCTGTGAATAGGAACAGGAGAAATGAGAGTATAAGATCTCATTAAAACAAACAAGCCCACAAACTTCCCTTCCAAATCTTTCAGCTGTATCTATTTCTGGTTTGGGAGAGAAGTTAGACATTAGAGGCAGTTTTCTGTTTTCCTCTCTCCTTTCTTGTGCGACTGGTGAGGATGGAGAAGGGTACCAGTTTGAAGCGGGCTAATGGCAGACCAACATTTTAAAGTAAACTATGGTAACTGTGCTGACTGATATTAAAAACAGTAAATAATTCTGTTTTGAAGAGCTGAAGAATTTATTTAGATATCCATTTGCCAAGAAAGTTTGAGGTAAAATCCTGGTTATGCCTTACAGGAAAACCTTTTGGACCTCGTTTGTAATGCTTCAATTGCTGTGGAGATGATTTTGACTATCCAAGTCAACAGCAAGGAAAAAGTGCTTGGCTGTGCTATCTTTCTACTTATAATTTGAATTCTGTAGGGGGAAAAAATGCTTGACTAAGCAACTGGGGTTCATTTATGAAAGAAAGATTTTGTTTCCTCTGTTTAAACAACTCTGACTTGATAAAAACTGCTTCAAAAAGCCTTCTGTGTTTTATGTGTGTACAGCCTTACACATTCGCAATAAATCCAGGAGCAGAGGTGATCAGGGAATGTTGCTGATATAAATATACGAATATTGAAGATCAAAGGCAGGGGAGGAAAAACACTGGCAGCATTATGAACTATGGGGTTAATATTTTTTGTGTGCTAACTGTATTGCTGCTGAGTCACAGAGGAGTTTGGCTTATTTGTTGTTTTAATATAAATAAACTGTTGGGCATACATGGAACTGTAGTAATTGCAAGCATCTCCTTAGGACAGCCTAAATTTTGAGACAGGGTTGAGTGCACGTTTTAATAAACCATTTTCTATGCAATTTGCCACCCTTGTATTCACTGCTATTTACGTGTACATATTACATATATATACATTTCTCTATGTATAAAAATAGAATTTGCATAGATCCAGGCTTATTAAACATACTGCAGTAATTTCTTACTTGAACAGTACAACTGTGTTTAACCATATCCATTATATGAAATACTGGCAAATAATCTGATGATTTTACACAGCTGACAATCTAGTAACGGTCTACCATGGCACTTTCCAAGCCTGTCATCAGTTTCTCTGCAAGTAAATCTCTCTTGAGGCCTGCAAGAAACAGGAAATTATCTATTATTTTAAAAAAAAAAGTAATCTTATAATGAAAATAACATGTTCTGGAACCCTCTTGTAATCTTATAAATTAGTTTTATCACCTAAACCAAAACCTGCCATGCTTTCTGTGGAACTCTGCTTTTAATTCTAAAAGACTGTCTTTTAGTATGTTCCTTTGGGATATATCTTGACAGATACTGTTGTTACATTTTGTCTTTTAATGATGTGTGAAACTGCTAAAATTTTCTTACTGGTAAAGAAGAATACTCTTAATACTTCATAATGCGTGCCTTTGTTTTAGGAAAGAAGATTACTCACAACTATGTTATCTAAGGTCTGGCTATTCTGTAGGATAACCTGTATTGAAAAAGTTCTTGTTGAAACAGTCCTGGTTCTTCAGAGCTGAGCAGTGTCTCAGGGAACTAAAACCTTAATCCATTCAGGTGGAGCTCTGGAACTGTAAAAAGAGTTACCTTCCAGAACTGTCTTGAAAGCTTGTTATCATTGAATCTATCCAAAGGAGGACACAAAGCTTATTAAGTATGGTGAGAAAATCAGTATTTTTGAAAGGAGATCATATAGCTTAGTATTGATATTTAAAGTGTACTGAGTAAACAATTTGCATGTTAACGTTAACAGAGGCATTGCATTGACACTTCAGGAAACACTTATTGTAAAACTTGATTTTCTGTAACTAGTGGGCAAACAAAAACAGTGGTTTGTCTTATAGGCTTTGGAAAAGTTAAATCATGCTGCCATTTTCCACTGGCTACTGTGCTATAAGCTGTTAATGTCAATTAATGTTAAGTTCAATTTTGTGTTAAAGCTTTAGTCAGGATGTATTTTTTGAATATCATATAACCTTACATTTTGAAAATTATGCAATAAAACTGATACATTGTTTTCATTAAAATGTTCTGGAAACTTCTGTTTTTCACTACGTCAGGTACGAAGTGTCTCAAAACTAAAATGACTTGATATACCCAAAACATTAAAAGTCCATTCCATAAAATAGAACAAGAACTATGGTCTCATTACATAGAACTTCTGACTAGTTAGCTTTGCAGTTTAAAATAGTGGGTTTGGTGAACTATAAACTGCTGCAAAGAACTTTGCTTTAAAATAAGTAGTAGTCAATAAGTTATAATTGAAGTTCTGTCACTGTTGCATAACTACTGTAATCTTATCCCACCTACACATCATGGGTGGAATTGCAGTTAGAGAACACTAAAATTAAAAAATTGAGGAGGGGGAAGAAGGGAGGAATCTTAAAATACTGGGATTAATTTTGTCAAGTTTTAATAATAATTGAATACTTCACTAATTAAATAACTACTTGTGATTTGTATGTTTGCATATACACTGAGAGAGATGTTGCTGTTGGTCTCTAGATACAGCTTCTTCCAATCAACAGCAGCCAGCTATCTTGGGAATTACAATTCCATTTAGACACACTGAGTTGCATTAACTCTCACTCCTTCTACCTCTGGAAGTTGTGGCTAATAAGACCAGACTGGAATGTACACTTAGAACTGCTATAAAAGGTGCTGTTGCTGGGGGTTGGGAGTAAGAAGCTTGCTGTGATACCTATATCAGTTTTCTCCTGAGTTTATCAACTGTTTGATTTTTTGCAAAATTTGATTCTGTGGTTAAAGTTATTCTAAAATCTGCAACAAGAGTTAAGGTGAGAGTAGACACAGATCTCTGGAATTGAGATACAACTGGCACTACTTAAACAAATAAAACACTATTCTGCAGCAGGTACTGTATGTTCCACTCCCAAGTGTCAACAGTGAAGCCAGGTAACAGCAGCATTGGCATTAGAGCATTTTATAGAATGTGCAACTTTTAAAAATAGAACGTGCTTCAAATATTTAGAAACGGAAACCAGAATATTTGTTGATAACTTCCTAAAAACTGGAGTTGTACTGTAAAAATCTGTCAGGACAAACATGCATCACAGTGGTAGCAATTCATGAAGCCAAAAAATTATTAATGCAGTAAATTGTCCAGCTTGCCACTTCTAAGTGACAGTTTTGTCTCTTTCTGGCTTTAAATAGTTTTGCTGCAGTTTGTCATTATTGTTCTGTTCTGGTGCATGTTGGTTTTGTTTTCAATGGGAGTTTTGTCCACAGGATTCTGACAGAGGCTTCCTTTCTTCCTAAAGAAAGAAGAATTGCAAGTATCACTAGTTTTGTCTTTGCCTAGCCTTTTTTCCAGGCAATGTTTTCTTTTTTTTTCTTCTTTTTTTTTTTCCATTTTAAATCAATTCTTGCTGTTGAAGTTTTCTGAAGATGTCCATTACCCCATTTTTAGGTAGTATATATGGAAGAGTGTTTTAACTTAACTTGATTGCTTCAATTTTTCTTTTGTCTTCTCCACAGAATTATGTGCAAAGAGATTCAACATATAGGAGGAAGTTTTAGTCTGTAAATGTCAATGTCTTTAATCAGTGTTCATAAGCTGTTCTTTCAAATACTTAAACTTGGGGAAAAAAAGTCAGTTTTTTATACTGAACATTTTAGTTCAGCTGCATTTTATAGAATTTCTTTTTTACAGCTAACAAAGAGATCTGCCCTGATACAGTGGCTGCTTCCTTGTACTGTTATCTGTGATGTAAGAAGATTGTTCAGGGTATCAGTAATTTTTTCTCCTTTAATTTTAAGAATCCCTTTATAATTTTTTTTTTTTCAGTTTGGAAAAAGGGATTTTTTTGAAGTGTTCTTAAAGTGCATTCTTTTCTTAGTAACTATGATATTTTGTTTGTTTCTTTCTTTAAACAGTATTTCAGTCTATCAAGAAAGAAGATAGTGTACTACACCAGTTTTGACCAGCGGAAACGAGCAAATGCAGCATTTTTAATAGGTGCATATGCTGTAAGTATTATTGATCACATGGGTACTTCTAACCTTCCTTAAGAGACTTCTGCTGTGTGTAAAACAACTTCTCAAGGGATGGATGCAGATTGTCATTTCATTCTTCTCTAAACTGTCTTTGGAAATTCTGCTGCATGAGTTTTAGGGAAACCCTGACTTTGCCCCTTAACTCCATTTATTTTACTAGACATGAAATGGCTTTGGCAGATCATTTGCACATTTTCCATAGGATACCATTTTCTTGAATGTCGAAAATTCAAACCACAAACTTACATTTAAACTTGGCTGTTTTAGGATTAATTGCTTCTCATGGCAGGAGCAGGATTCATACTGGGAAGGAGAAATATTTTTCTCTAAGCCTTTCTTAAAGTTACTAGACCAGAAGCATAGTGATTATTGAATTGATTTCTCAGTTTATTTTCTATGATTGTACAAGCTTTTTGAGCCTAGAAAATCTTTTAGCTGTGAACTCTATCAATATGTGAAAGTTAATTGAGAAGGCTTGGTTTATTTGTCCTGGTGTTAAAACATTAAGTGTAAAATGAAACGTGGAAAGCAGTGGATCAGGTTCTAGGAGTGGGTTTCCAGTGGTGATTATGCAACTTAGATTGTTCCATTAAACAGCTACTTAGACCCTATGGCTATTTAAATATTTTAATAAGAGATGTGAGTGAAAGTTAAATCTTGAAACTTCACTGGCAGTATGCATCTCAGGAAGATGCATTTGATAAATTTCAGTTTTTACAGTGGACTTCCAGTACTTCTTTTGTAATCATGCCCGGTTGCTAAAATATTGTCCTTGTTCTTAAGAATTCCACAAAAATCCCTTCTGTCACAAATTCAGATTAAGAAAAAAAAATTTAAATTGTTACAAGAACAGAAGAACATGCAGACTTCCCTGATCATGCAGAGGTTCCTCATAAATGACCAAGACTACAACACAAACTGGTCAGTGAGGTCAGAAACAGGGTGCTACTAGGTTTTGCAAAATCTTATCAGGCACAACAGAGACTATATGGAAGCTAGTGTTGTTCAGCTTTTCTTTTCATCTGTTTGGAGATTTTAGTTGTTAGGATTTTTAATCTAGCCTTCCACAATAGTTAATCTTTTCTTAAAAAGAAACCTTTAAAAATTGTTTTGAAATACAAGTCCTTTCATGCATACCAAAACTAAAGTAGCCTGGTTTGACTCAATTTGTACTTAGTTTCTGGGGGGACAATGAGTGAGAGTAGGTCTAACTAAATTATACTTAACTCCCCACTTTTTATCAAATAATTAATTCTTGGAGAATTCTTGAAGGAGAGTGCATTTTCACCTGTCTGATAACACATATATGAATGGTGAGCTGGGTCTCTCTTTCCCTATACTTAGGGTATGTTTTTTTACTGGTTGGAAACCGAGGAACACCTGCCTGGTTGTGTACTCTGTCTGGTAAGGATTGAATTCCTTGGGAGAGAAGAGCAGAAGGAATACTGGTCTGTTTATATCAGTGATTGCTCTTGTACTCCTAGAGAAATGGGGCAGAGGGAAGAGAGAACACGGATATATGACACTTTGCTGCTTCTGGTAAATCTAGAGCTTTAATTCTACCCTGTAAGAAACAAGCAGTAGTTACCTCTTGCAATTCTTCAGGGACTAAAACTTGATTAGTGGACCAAAATCTGACTTTTAAGCACTCTCGATGGAACATGCTTTTGCACTGTGGCAAACCCTGGGAAGAGTGAGCCTTTTTTCCTTTTCCTTGTAGATAGCAGGTGGGCTGGCCATATTTCACTCTCATGATTACTTTAACTGTATATTTTGGTAGTAACAGCATTTATTAGACTTCTGTTATACCGGGAAGGGAGAAAAGCTGTTGAGTTCTTAAGGTTGTAGTTTTATTGCAGCAAATGACTGGGTAATAGCAAACTACTATGGCATGTTCAGTGATTTACTTGCAGGAGTTTTTTCCTAATGTAAAAATTTAAATTGGACATCTCAGCCCTACCTGAAACTTTAAAGGTTTGTTTGCTAGTAATCTAAGCATGTCACACTACTGCTCAAGCCTGTAATCCTTCCCTTGGAGGGTCAGCAAGTACAAAGGCTTTTCAGTCACTGCAGTGTGTGCAGCCTCTTCTGTACACCTTTCTGCAGCTTGCTTTAGGTTATCTTCACAGAACTCTTGTGGTAACGCAGCAACTCTAAAGGGGAACTGTTTCAAATACTTCTAATATTAAAATGGCAGATGCAGGTGGGAACAAGATGAATCCAAACTGCATTTGAAATATTGTGGATAAGTCTTAAGATGGGCTTGCAAAATACTAATTCCCTTTTTGTTCTGCAAGCTTTTTAGGACATATGGTATGAGTTTTCTTGACAGTGGGTATATCTGGCCTGTATTGCTACACATCACGTGCCAGCATAGTGTCACAATTGTGGGAAACTTATCTTTTAACCATTTCAATGCTGATCCATGCTATCGGTGTGACCATGGTGAGTGGAGCAGCAACATTGGAGGCTGAGACTAAAATACAATTCCAAGTTAGGGGATTGATCTTTTGAATGGAGATCAGTTTGTGTAGAGGGTTTTGGTCCAAAATTGGACTAGCTGTTCAAAGCACTCAAATAGGTTGTATTTGAAAAAGAGATTATTCTGGACCATCTATTCATTGCATAGTGGCAAAGAGTTTTTCAGACTGTTTTATTTTAGTCAATTTTTTGTGTTTTATTTAGTCCTTATCTTGTCTTTGCTGTCTGATTTGTCCATGCTTGAGGAAGAATGGAAGAAAATCTACCTAATGTGACAACATCTTACAGAGTACAAAGAGTGCCATTAACTTGGGACAAAAAGCTAATTGCAGATATTCTGGGAGTGACCATCACTTACCTATGTTCTAATGTGCTCAAGGTCAAAAGCTGAATAGAGCTTTTAGATCAGGAACTCACCTGTGTCCTGGTTAAGAAAATAATTACTAGAGTACTTTACAGTCAGTAAAATGTGTGTAGAGCTGTAAAGTAGCCATGTAGATGCTGGTGGTAAGGTGAACAGGAGGGAAATGGCTAGGAAAATCATGTGGCTTGGTTTGTAATAAATGTTTATATGTGTGAAATATGCCACTCCAAACTGAATGAATTTCATATTTTGTAAATGAAGTACTTGCTTAATATGTATTCTGAGTTAGGTTTATTTTAGGACTAAGTGTACTGTGCAAATAGGAATTGAAATTCAAAAATATGTACTTGTATTTCTTACTTAAACCAGTGCAACTATTAGAAGAATGAACCTTGACTTTAGGTGTTATATTAACTGCATGTTGGTCTCATAGTAACACGTTTAGCTTGTTGAATTGGATATTTTTGTTAATTAGTAGTTTGATATTGACAATTAGGAATCAAAAATACTTTTGTTGGAAAATCTTCCATTGAGATGTGGTGGAGAAATGTTTCCTTAGTCAGCTGCCACAATGGTATTTTGACTCATTTAGAGAGAGAACTCCCAGTATAGATACGTGTTTTTCACCTTAATATGATGTCGAGTCTGTCCTAAACTCTCTCAGTTGAGCAGTATGTAATTTTTTCTTTCCATTTTCTTTTTTTAAAGTAGAGGAATGACGCAAACCAGAAATTCCAGTTTCTGTTGACTTCTATTGATTTCTGAATAATTTCTTTGTGTAGGTATCTCTTTTCTGACCTGTGTATGTCCATAGGAGTAGCTCATGAGGGAGTACAGTATGTATTCTTAGGAGTTTAGTGGGCTGAGGGAAGTTAACATCTGGTTCATGACTTTTCAGGCTCAGGGCTGATTTTTTTTTCCTCTTCCCCCATCCCTTTTAGGTAATATACTTGAAGAAAACACCAGAAGAGGCTTACAGGACACTTCTGTCGGGATCTAATCCACCATATCTTCCATTTAGGTATGTGAACACAAGAAATGAACCTAGCTTTTCTGGTTTGGATTTTGCTAAATAAATTTTTTTCAGATTGCCTTCCTAAAAAAGGGTTTCTTTTCTGATTCAGACATTGTATCAAAATGACTGATGTCCAGAAAAAATAATTTTTACATCTGGTGGTATTACTTGCTTTGTACTGTGATAATAAATCATTTAGATGGATACAAGTTTTAAGTAAGATTCCTTGCAAACTGTCAGTTTTTTAAAATAGTTCTCAGAATGTTTGCAATTTAGCGATTAAACCTTTTCTTCATCATGTATCATGTTTTACTATTTGGAAGTCATTCAAATATTTTAAATCTGTAAGTAGGTAGAGTTAGAGGAATAAAGGGAGTTGTATGCTGTTATATTTTCTCTTTTACAGAACAGGCGCTGATATTCGAGTTATTGAATGTTTTCAGTTAATCATAGATAATTTCCATCAATCTGTCTTTATTCTCTGTACTAAGATCATATTGAGACCCAAATCTAGGGAGTTTTAGCTATCATGCCTATCTAATAAAGAGACTTCCAAATTTTTTTCATGGTGTGAACTATGCCCTTGTGCCTTATGAATGAGAATACCTCGTGGTATTCCTATGCAAACACTGGCAATAAAAGTCAACTGCAAGAAGGTCAATATCCTCCTTTTCAGGGGAGTCAGCATTTTACAAGTAGTGTTCACTGTCAGCCAGTGCATTTGTAAATGTAGGCCTACCTTGTCTGTATCAAATTAATCTGATTCTTCAACCACTCAGCAAAGGAAGATCAGATTAGCTGTTCTCATTCTTTGTATAGGAGCCAGATGCAGTGTAAACTGTTGGGATGGTAGATTTTATGTCAAGACCAGTTTGACTATGAAATCTTCCTCCATCAAACACATGTTTTAAGGAGGTATTAAATCGGTGATAACTTTTATTGGCAGAGAGCTTATACGTTAACCAGGTCATTGATAGCTCTCCAAAGCCCAAGAAGTTCACCAAGCTAGTGGTATCCAAATTTTTTCAGAGAATGATAAAAAATACTTGGTACAAGGCATAAGAAAGTCAGTTATTCTAAATGTCAGTGTTTTTTAACTTCTCCAAATTCTGTATAAAACATGGGGGGGTGATCTACGTTAGACAAAGAACAATGTCTTGCATGTGCCTTAGTATTGCTTGCATGAAGGTGTGCTCTATAATCTTCCTAGGCACAAAGATGAGGCTCAGCAGCCTGTAGTTCTCTGGCTCTTCCTTTCTACTCTTTTCAAAAACAGGAGCAATGTTTCCCTTTTTCCAGTCACTGGGGATTTTGCCTCACTGCCGTGACTTTTCAAATAGGATGGAGAGTGGCTTGGCAACAACATCAGTTCCCTTAGGACCCTGGGACACATCTCATCAGGCCCCATGGCTGAATAGCTGCATCTTGTTCACCAATTAAAGACATCTACTGTTTGGATTTACAGTAAATATAGTCTTTAGGTTTTTCTCTCCCCTACCAAAGTAAAGGTTAAGGTGTGTAAAAAGAAGTTCTGACAAAGCGAAGAACTTTATTTGTCAGATCCCAAAATTGTAAGACAGAAAACTTGGGAGGAATACTGTGTTCGCCAAACAGTCTCATATGACCCTATTTGCTCAAACCAAAGGCTACAGATCCTTGCCTTGCAACTAATTCCTTATAATAATGATGTTGATAGTAGTAGTAATAATAAAGTCGCTGTTTCTGCTTGACTGGTAAGGAGTAATGAAAGTAATTGGCTCTGTGATTTCTTGTGAGGCTGATAGGAACCACAGTAATAAATTTAATGGCACAAAAAAATTTCCTTTGAAGTGTTTTTAAATGATTATTCGAAGGAAATCCTCATGACTTTGGATTCATGAAATTCTGTTTCAAAATAGAATAGTTACCTAGTCTAGGGTCAGCAAAGAAGGCATCAAAAATATAGAAGAAACGCAAAGATTTTCTGAAGATAACTTTTTATTATATACATAGAGCATTTTGTATTTTCTAAGGGAGAGCATACTAACCAAAAACATTGGAGAAGACAATGTCCAGCAAAGGGACTACTCAGTTTTTGCTGTCTGGGTTGGCAAAATAATTACAAAATTATAATTGTTTCACTCCATTTGTCAGCTTTAGGAGAAGAGGGCAATAAATTTAGAGAGTAAGAAGTATTCTGGAATGGAATTCCTTTGCAGTCTTTGTCTGTGTATTTCAAGCCCTAGGTTGTGTTGGCTAAAACTAAAGCACTTTTGACAGGTTGTGGGGTTTTTTTGGTGGGTTTTCTCTGGTGTGGATGAGTTTTGGTGTTTGGGGTTTTCTTTGTTTTTTTAAACACAAAGTTTTGACTATTTTAGAGGATGGGAGGGAGGCAATCTTCTTGAGCAAAGCCTGGCTGTTTCTAGAAGGAATATAGTATTATGAGCTTTTGCTAGAAGAATTAAATGTCTTGATTTCTTGAGCATTCTCTCTTATATGGTGTGAGGCTGGAAAGCACTTAAGTTTCTTTTGGATCTGCTTTGGACTACGTCAGATCTTGGCACTGGATTAGAGCCTAAGTAGATTCTGTTACCTGCGGTGTAGTTTGTCCAGCTGAGGAAGTTGGGTGTGTAACCAACCTGTACCAGAGGTGAGACAAAGAGGAGGGAGGAAATAAACTGAAGGATTATGACAAGATAGGAGGCTGGATAAAAAGTGGGATATCTGATAGGGAAGGGGATATTTGGGATATTTGAACTCATAGGTAGAGTTTGGTATAGATGCATAAGGAGCTTAAGAATTACTCAGGCTGAGAGAAGGACAAGTAGATCTGATGGTGTGCAGTGGGGCAATCTAGATCAGGAGGGAATGGGGAAGAAATTATTTAATCCTCCTTCCTTGGTTTTCCAAGGCCTTTGAGATATTTCCCCCTGTGTCCATTTCAGGACGTTTGAGAATCTCTGTTGCAAAATATAGCATAATACAGAGGCTCAAGCAATTGAACCCGTACTGGAAGCAGTAGCTCTGCCTTAGGTAGTATATCTGCTTGACACCAGACTGTACTGTGAAGAAACAAGTTGGTCTGTGAAGGAAATAATTTGAGATGTTAATCACTGCGATTCAGAGTTTGTTCTTGCAGCCTGGAACTTAGATACTATATAACTTCTGTAGTATAGGTCAACTCTGTTTGAGTAGTTCAAGTGGAGAGTTTATCAGAGAGCAGTGATCAGTTAAGTGTTACAATTGGACTGTTTAACAAGTTTGTTAATTTGATATCTGAAGTGTCCTCTATTTGAAAAAAATAGACAACTTTGAATAAGTAGAAGCTGCAGGATTGTCAGATTCTTTGTGGAGTGCTGAGGTAAGTTTACATGAAGTGACCACTGGGAAACTGATCTACTTTCATCTAGCTCAGTGACCTCAAAAAGCCTTAATCGGCTTAGGTCTTCAGCTGGTATTTCATTTAAAGACAGCTTCAGCAAATATAGTTCAGAGGTGGAAGGAAATCAGAATTCACCTCTTACAAGATACATGGAAATTTTGTTTTGTTTTTATGGTAGAAAAACTAAAGGCAACTTGAGAGGATAAGGCACACTGTATTTGAGACACTTCAATCTTATTTTTGGCTGATTCACTGTCACTTGGTGACGCTCTAGTCTCTTGAAGATCTTACACATATCTTCTCACTTCCATTTAAAAAACAGTGCTAACACCAGTTAAAATTGTCATAAATACCAGTTACGTAGTGTGAAACAGTTTCAAATTTTTACCTCAAACTACTCTGTATTGACTTTATGTTCAAGAGAAAAAACAAATATATTTTAATATTATTATGTTCAGTCTCTAAATAATGACGTGAATTTCAGAGTTAGATTTTAGTGTGTGGTTTTTGGGGTTTGTTTCTTTATTGGCAAGTGCTGGGAAACAAACTGTTTTGTTATTGACAGCGCTTAGAGGTTTGGTGAAAGGGAAAGCATTATGCAGTATTGAGGTCAGCTACAACAACTGTGAAATGGGATGGGGGATATGCAACTCTGTAATGCCGGCTCAGATTCGTACTGAATCTGTGTTTCCTAGAAATATTCACATTCTTTTCATTTTGAAAGCAGATAGAGTACTGTCAGGTAATAGCTGGTAAAACACTACTCGAAAAACAAGGTGCTTATACATTTGGCCATAAAAGACTGAAATAATACTGTAATAAAACATGTAATCAGCAACAAAAATCAGAGTGCTGCAAAGCAGCGAGAGATGTCTGTCTGTGCTCTGTTGCGTTATTCTGATATGAAATGAGGTTTTCCTTTTTCTTCTATGCTTTCTTAAACACAGACTTCTGAGTTGAACAAAAAGGTGTAAGATTTGAAATGCAAGTTTCACTTAAATGTTTTTGTACATGCCTATGTAGTCCCAGTGAGTTAAAAATTACTATTATCTTAAATGTAAGCACATGCATTAGTTTTCTGTGAGATACTATGCTGACTGTGTACAGTGGACAAAGGAGTAGAAAAAGTTTAAATAGGAAGGATGTCTGGAACTAATTTTAATTTAATCTAGAATATATTTCTTTAAGATTAGTAAAGGTATTTTTTTCTTTACAGTGCTCTTCCTCATGACTGTTAGTCCTTGCATTTGGTTTTACTGTGGAACAAAGTGTGACCCATTCAGAACCTATTGCATTTTATGCAAGCTAAGATCAGTATTATTAAGTATTGCTCTAAAACTTTCGGGATATATCTATCATTCTTAGAAAGAAAATGCATGCTCATGGATCTAGCGCTATGTAGTTGACTTCTCAAGCCAAAGTGGCATGAGAATAGCTGTATTTCTAACAGAATTTTAGTAAAGGTTAGTACTACTTCTGACAGTATCCAATGTTTTTATCCATGGTTTGGAAATTTGTACAAAATCAGTAGGAAGGCAGGTTGGCACAAAGAGTAGTGAAATTGCACTAGCTGCTCTGCATTAGCTTTTAATTATTTTGTTTTCTTCAGTAAATACATTCATTCAGGAGGATTCAAAAAACAAGTTTAAATTTGGGGATTTTATTTGTGAAGCTTCTTAATGATTTCACATGACTTCTGACTGATTTCTCTGGGATAGAAAAAGAATTTGATAACCCAGCCTCGGCCTGGAGGAAGTCACCTAGGTAACTGGGGGGAGATTTGTTTTGATTTTCCTTGTAACAAATAAAGTATCAAAACAATTAGTGACTTAAAATACCTTAGCCAGCTCCCTCTAAACAAAAAAGATATTTCACTCTAGTAATTTATTTAAAACATTCAGGAATTCAGGTCACGGTAAAATTCTTAATCTTTGCCTTTTGAGTATTTCATGGCCTTTCTTGAACATGTAGTCAGCAGTAAGATTGGCATCATGCATCTGTCCTCTCTCACACTTCTGCAAAATACTTTTTGACTAAATTGTAAAGAAATACTGATGCTTGTCTGGAATAATGCGAAATCATCTTTTTGATAGGAAGACTGAGTATTAAAAGATATCACTTCATAAGCATACTGTGACTTTTTGTCATAAATAAATACTTTTTTAAAACATTGTTTTAATATTTAAAACAACTCTGTAAAGTGTATTTTGTGACTTGCTGTATGTTCTGAAACTTGTAAAATGGGTTTCATCTCCTAATACTGAATCCACAAGCACTTGCCTTACCTGTACTTCAGATATTGCTGTACTGTGTCAATAGATCCAGCATGCAGAGTCCTCATGGATTATATGTACAACTTCTGCCAGATTAATTTCTTTGTTCTTAGACCTAAAATATAATACCTGCAGATAGTTTGGTTTAAAATTCTGGAGCATAAAACAGTAAAGTTTCAGAAAGTTTTGCATCTGGAATTGATTCTAATCAGCCAACTGTACTTTCGGAAACTAGAGAAGAAAATATATATGTATATGTATTCCTGGGTTTACTCCAAAAAGGATTGGAAGTGCTAAAATAAAAATGACTGTGGCTTTAAAGAAAAAAAGTTGCATAGATTTTGTTCCATTATCTTGTTCTCCAAATTAGGATACAAGGAACTTTTATGATTTGCTTGTGTTTTCTTACCAGAAGATAGCTGAGGGACAGAGCAGGAGAGAGAGATTATGGCAAGGTCTAATATGATATGCTCAGTACTTGCCCTGGTTCATCAAACACCATGATGCCCTTGAAGCCTTAGGTAATATAAACCACTGCTTCTGGGTGTTGTTTCACTGCCACATTGCACTGTTGTTCATACCTGTTGCTTATGTTTTCATTACGTTATTGCATTCTGCCATGAAGGATAGATGGGGGGGTGAGTTTTTGAGGTGTCAACTCTTTAAAAAAACATTAGAATACTGCTATTCTTTGAGTTTCTGGAAAATTGGGATTAGGTTTAAAAAACTTTTTATTTGGCCATTCCAAAACTTTGACTCTTTTTAATTTTCCTAGCTTTCAGTCTTCCTACTGTTTCACTGTGTGTGGATGGCAGGTGTCAGTTGGAGCACACCTACTTTAATGATCAGGTGCACACCAGCAGAAATGAGAGGTGTGAGACATGGATGGTGGAGGCAATCCATGTCAGCTGCCACCATCCTTGTGCACGTCACTGGTAATAGCTGTCTGTGGGAACTGGAGCTAGGAGTTCTGTACACCTGGAATTCTGATAGGCTTATCTTGTACATCTAGGTCAAGTTCATTGTCTTCTCTCCCTCTCTCATAGTATTTCTTATTAATGGATTAGAGATTATGTGGCCTTTTCCCTCAATATTGTTTTCCTGTACTGCACTATCAGATGCCTTATCAGTCAAAGAAGTAGTTATATACATACAGATAAAATATAACTTATACTTTTGTTTTAGCAAAATAACATGTATAATAGAACATCTGCTATGATCATATCTTCCATTCATAGTTCTCTAAATATTTAATGGATTTGGATTTTATTTTTGTCGACCTCTTCAGAAAACCAGTGCAGCTTTTAAAAACTTTCTGCTCTGTATGTGTTTCCAGTGGGTCCTTAGTTTTTTTTGCTCAGAAGACTTTTTTGTGTGCTAAAATGCTTTTGTGCTAAAATGATCTGTTATCCACTTTTACTTTGTCAAAAATGTATTGTCTGTAAAGTTCATATTTTGCTGCTTTGATATGTTCTTCTTTATTTAGTATAATGAAAATACTGGGTTCTCGTTTTTTAAAACTTCCCTGTTGGATTTGGATATGGAAAGTTTATACACACTTAAAAGTTCCCTTTCCAAAACACTATGATTGTGCTTTAATAATCTAATTATTCAAAAGCTTTTCTAGAGTAGCCTGCCTGTAATATGACACTGCCAAAGATACAGCTTTTCATTTTCTTAAAAACATTTTCTATGAACATTGCTTGTTCAAAACTGCTATACTTATTCTACTCTTAAAGAATAGGTGAGAATATTCTGCCCTTAAAGTACTTGAGATTGAAGGAGCATATCAGTATAAAAAGCTTCATACTGCTTATAGCAAGTTTTCAATGAAAGACTGAAATTTTGAATCAATTATAGATTAAATATATATTTGGGTGAAATGTAAAATTTTGCAGTTCTGATAAATTGCAGTTCTTAGGACTCTCTCTAAGATAGCTTAGAGCAAAGCTATAAAAAACTTCTTTAATGAGTGATAAGGAAATAGTCTGCTCAGGAAGAGTTTGTTAAAATCGAACTGGTCTGAAAAAGTACTTTTTCATTTTTCCACAATGCATTTTTTTTGGTGGTGGTGGTGCTTGGTATGGGGTTTTTTTATGTTAGTGTCTCTTACCACTTGAACATGTTTTGGAGTCTCATTTCATCTTCTAAAGACAAATTGTAATTTTCATAGTGGTAGAACTGAGGTTAAGTAATTTTAAATTTAATTATATCTGGATAACTTTGAATCACATCTGTAATCAGGCATCAAAACGAAGGCCTATAAATTAATTCCAAACTAGTAGTCTGTTTGCTTGTCCCTGTTAGACAGTGTAACTCAATTAAGATTTGAATAATTGTTAAAGCAAGTTTTGCTTTATTTGCTGCTGTCATTATACAATTGAGAGAGGATGCAAAGCTTCCTGTTCCAATGTAGTATAAATGATTTGGAAAAGGGCATGTAGTTAGCTGATGTATAATATGCACTTAAAATTACATGCAGTATCTAATTGCACTTACTCTGAGCTGCGTCTTGGGTAGGGGAGTTCTTTAGCATGAACAAACTTCTAAAAAGATGTCTTCTTTGCGAATTCAGAGTTCTTAAAAGGAATTGAATAGCTGGATTGTATTCTGTTGTGTGCTGCCTTTCCCCAAGTTCCTAAAATAATTCTGTGTATATTAAATTCATTTGTATTAAATCTATAGGGATGCTTCATTTGGAAACTGCACGTACAATCTTACCATCTTGGACTGTTTACAGGGAGTAAATAAGGTAATAACATTTTTCCTTAGCAAAACAGGTTTAAATTGATTTTTAAATCATGAGGAAAAATACTGTTAAAATAGCTTAGAAAATCTGGTCTCAAAAGGTGTGTGAATGAGTAGTATGCTCTCATGAAGCCTGAGGTACTGAGGACTGTGTTTGAGTAGTGCCAGCGGAGGAAGGTTACACTTCTACTGGCTGGCCTAGCCTTTGACAGCTTTCTGAACTTCACCTCATGACTTGGAACATGCAAATGCACCAGGCCTGGCTGGAGGCAGCTTTTAGCAACGCAAGGCACTGTGCTAGATCTGCTAATAGATCATTTATAACCATGGGGAAGAGGGACTAACAGGTGGATAAAGTCAAGTGATACAGAATACACAGGTATACTGTGACTTAATCTGAGCAGTTTTTGCATGTACTTGGCCCAAACTTTCCCCCAAAACACTTGGTTGAGTGTTTGATGCTAATCTTTTCAGAATTGTTTAAAAACAATTGAAGCCGAGGTATCTTATTGGTGGTTTGATGTCTCACTTTCAATAGTCCTGGGCAATATTAAGCTCCAGTATTGCTTTTTTAAAAAATGCTACCTCACATCTTACTTGTCAGCCTTTAAATTTTGTTCATCATTTCCCATTGATCTTGATGAAGGCAGCAGGCTATAGGAGCAGTTCTGTACAGACACTTTATAGACCATTTGTAATCCTTAAAAGTATGGCAAAACAAGTGTTTTTAAAAATTGAAAAAAGATCAAGCTTAATATTTTTAGTTCTGTGGGGGTGGGAAAGGAGCTGTCAGTTAACAGCAAGACTGTAATTTGTGAGGCATTCTACAGATCCTGAAGCTCTGAAGTAGTCAGTGCAGTCATTGTAATTTATCTGCAACAAATACATCAAAAGGACTGTGAGAATCAGTTTTCCTCCTTTCTTCTCATAAAATTTATTACTGAATTTTTGTCCAGTTCACTTACAGAGGAAAAAATACTTCAAGCAGAAACCCTATGCCTTAATTTAAAGTAGTCTTACCTGGATAAATTTGGTGTTCCTGTGCATGTACATCATATACATGTAATTCAGGAGGCCTGCAAGTTCTGGAGTGCAGCCAGCCAGCCATGCTTAAATGAAATACGTCTCAAAATCAGCTGTTCAGACAAACCTCTCAGTATCTTAGGTTTCATGACAGTCCAGTCACTGAGCCTGTGTTTTCTGTAATAAAGCTAGCTGTGATTTTTGTTTTGTCCTAAAAAGGTGCTCTATATGTAGGAAATAATAGCAGTCTGATGATTATTTTTAAATCATAGATCTGTGGGTTTTTTTTATCACTCCTTAATCCCAGAATATTGTGTAATATCTACACTTGTCAGAATGGAATAGATTCAGTATAAATACATGCTGAAGAAATGCCTTGTGCCTATTCTTTGAAATAAATTTGTGCTATGAATTCTGTATTCATAGAATTGTTTTCAATATGGTATTATACACAAAACTTCAGTACAAAATTGGCATATTTAATAATAGTACAGTAATCAAATACAAAACTTCTTTCAATCCTGTAATAGACACTGTCTAATGTAGTCTAGCAAACTTTATCTGTGTATTAAAAGAAGTAATAAAATGCAGGTTATGCATGGTACTGTATTCTGTACATGCCATTTTGCCTAGGTATTATGGTGATAAAACCAGAGTATCATATAAAGTATGGAAAATGAATAAACTCTCAATGTTCTCAATGTTTTATGTCCAGCTGCGTGAAAATACATTCAAACATAGAAATCACTGAATGAGTGTATGACAAAAAGGGAATTGCTTTTTACTTGTCATCTGCAATACAGAAGAAAATCAAACATGGTGGGGTGGGGAGAATCAGTTTTATAATTTAAGTGATATGCAACAACTTTGTGTCCCATCATATTGTCTTTGAAGGGGAAATAATGAATCTAACATGTTTCAGTGACATTGTTGTAGTTTTTGTTGTCTGTGTTGTTAATCTGTGCAAAATGTAATGTTGTCTTAACAAAAAGGCTTCAATAAACATAAACATCTAGGGATTTAGTTCTGATTCTCAAAGTAGTATTAGAAAATGAAATTATATATCTTATTTCAGTATAAACTGACACCTTGTTGCCTTTTAGGCTTTGCAGCATGGATTTTTTGACTTTAAGACATTTGATGTGGAGGAATATGAACACTATGAGGTTTGTACATTTAATAATGAGTTGAATGTGTTTGGTTTACCTAAAATAAGAGTACACAGTATCCCACAACTTAAAACATACTGGAAACACATTTTAATTCAAGTAAAACCCAGTGTTCATATGTAAGGTATGTGATGATGATGATGACATTGAAACATGTATGCTCTGTGTGAAAAACACACAGCATTAATATCCTTCCAATTTCAGTGCATCACATAATAAATCTACCCTTTTCTTGCAGCCTTTCTGGCTTCTGTGATGTCTTTCATGTTTTCCCAGCCTTCCCCCAGGATCCGATCCAAAGTTTCTCAGCTGACTCACAGAATATGTGTTTTCTTGCAGCACTTGTTAGCTGCTTCTTGTGTTCCTAATAGTCCCAAATATATGTCAAATTTTTTTTATTCTCACATAGATTAAGGACATTTTGAACTTTTTTTTTTTAGTAAAGAAGGCATTATATGGAGATTCTAATAATGGAAATACATACAAAATGTTTCCTGATGAAGTGTCCCAGAAGGCTAACAGATGTCATTTGTTGTTTTACCAACCACTTTACAGCTTAAGTATAGACAAACTCTGGTTATCTCTGGATGCTTCTAGGGCTTTGCAACATACACACCTTTATCTGCTGGAAGAAGAAAGTTATTTCAAGATATATTGCCTTAGAGAAGCTTTAAAATATGCCCGTGCTGTACCTGTGAATTGGGCTGTGTACAGAGGAAATTTCAGGCACAGAAGGTGTATGTACGGATGGTCCAGAACAATTGTATTGGACCTTGTCTTTGGAACTCTCCTAAATTCCTGAAATTGTGTTGGTTAAGCAGAAAGATATATATTCAAATATTTAGTATACCTCTAGTCTGTATATTAAACTCTCTGGTTTTTTAGATTTGTGTTACTTTACTGTAGCCAGTATTCTTCTGCTATTCTTCCCCTCTATTGCAGTTTTCAGAAACCTTGGGAATAGAGTTGCTCAGTCTGAAAGCGTCCATTTTAAGAGCATTTCCTGTATGTATTTCAGATACATACTGAATTACCTCATGAATGTTGAAGACAGTGAAGGCAGAAGAGGAATAAACAGTGGGAAAACATAATTAATAGCACAAATCTGTACAGTATCTGTTGTTTGCAATCAGCAGTCTGTAACAGAGAGCTATTCACAATACTAGAAAGCATTTGTAGGATTTCTCTATCCTGTAATGTTTCATAATGATTAGGTTGAGAAATTGGTATAGCTTTTGCTGAATTACCAAAATTAAATGATCAGGAACAAAAATTTAAAGTATTGCTGCTTTTTTTACTTAATCTATGTACAAAAGGAAAAGGCCTGTTCTAGAAATAAATGGTACTTGGGAATTATTAGGAATTCTAATTCTGTCTATGAGGTAGGCATTAGTTGACCTCAAAAAAAGTATTATAATAATTGACTAAAGGTATTTCATTATCTTGTTTAATGCTTAACATCATTTTAGTTTGTGAAAAGTACATGTGTGTGAACAATGTTTACAGTATGCTGCTTACTGAGTTTAAGAAGCAAGAACTTGGAATCATCTTTAGTTTTTTGTCCATTTTTTGGTATATCTTCTCTTTTTTTACACATCATGGTCAGCTTTATGTGTAGATATGTCCTGTGCTATATTTCAAAAACTTTAACTGTTCCAGGTTTTTGCTATGTTAGGTCTTCAAGTGTGTGGTTATGTGGAGAAAAGTTGCATACGACTTAAATGGAGCAGGCTAAAGGAAATTTTATTTCATGTTTATATTCTTTTATCATACTATATTATAAAGGCAGCTAATTCCCCTTTTGTTGGACTAGATGTAAATTACTGACGTTCTTAAGTTTTTGAGTAATAATGTTGTTTGCATGTACACAAATTTTAAGCAATATGAACTGCAGATATCTAAGTGATTCTCAATAACCCCTGTAACTATAAAGAACTACTTAGTTCACAAATAAAACTGGTAATACAAATACAAAAATACTTCTAACTTACTGAACAGGACTTCTTCCCTAAAGGGAGTAAAGGTGCTACAGTGTTGAGTTTGTGACACAAATCGAGCGCGGGGTCCTGGCTTGGCAGTGAGGTTGGCTCGCTAGTGCTTATGCAACCCCTGTGTGAGGACATTTGGAGCAAGCCTAATGCGTTCAGCTAAGCCAACAGTTGGTGAATTGATTACAGTGATGTCCATTATCAGAACCTTCCACTCATTAGGATGTTTTGATGAGCTGAGAGCTAAAAACACAAGCTTAATAATGCAGTTGAACTGAGTGCCATGTCCTTAAAAGTCACGCTGAGAATAACTGCATTGCCAAATGAGGAATGAGCAGTCTTCAATTAAAAAAAGAAAAGAAGGCAGTTCTGAACTACAGTTCATGTTACGTATTTCCAAAGAAGCTTTCATTTTTAGCACTGACAGAATTTGAAGAGCCTTTTCAAAGTTTTTATGTAAATGTGAGCAAGAAATGCAAAATGTCAGTTTGAAAGTTTTTTAGAATTTAGTCTTTTTATTTGATTTATACTTTTCTTTGATTACTGGCTCATCAGAGCTTATGCCAATATGTAAATTTCAGTTTCTACAGGGAAAAGATAATTCTTTTGGAGGCTAATTGGTTTTTTATTTGTTTTCTGTGATTTGGGTTTTTTAGCCAGTGCCTTACAGAGAAGCATTTTTCTATAGTCTTTGATTAAAACATAGAAAAATGTCGGTTTGTCAGTGTTGATATTAATAGGTATCCTAAAACACTGAACACTCTAAAGGAGAAATCTTAGATAAAGGATATGTCAGCTTTTATTGGAAAACTTCAGCAAGTTTTGTTTCCATTTTATTTTATTAAGAGATTTCTGAGAAGCAGCTTATGGTTAGTTTGTCCCATATAGATAAGCTAGCTAATTACATTTGAAGCATTTTGTTTTAATGCAGCAAGAACACAGTAAAAAATAAAATAAAATATTGAGTAATTTTTTTAACCTTGTTTAATCAGGTATTAAAATGCTTTCCTCTTTCTCTTTTGAAATTTTTGTAGCGAGTGGAAAATGGTGACTTCAACTGGATTATTCCGGGAAAATTTTTGGCTTTTAGTGGACCACACCCAAAAAGCAAACTTGAAAATGGTATGGTGTATGTTTTAATGATATTCCATGATCTTATTTTTCCGGCATGACGAATTGTCACAGCAAATAAGAAAATAAAGAGGTTTATAGATCAGTTTTAATCCTGAGAAATAATCATTCAGTGAGCATTTTATATATGATCATAGAACTTAATTCAAAAGGTTTTGGAATTTTTGCTAGAAGAGTTTTAATTCTTCTAACAGTCAGTGACTTTCATTCTGTATCAAAGTGCCTGAGAAACTTCAGTCCCTTAATTTTCTCCTGGAACCTAGAGACAGTAAATTGATACAGTAAATATGCAGAATTAAAGGCAAGTTGCATAAAGCACAGAAGACTGTTAGAAAGTTTGTAACAAAAACCAGGAAAGACTTTAAAAAGAAGCTTGCCTTTACTACTGAAGAATAGTGTAGTATTTACACTATTTACAACATGTGTATAACTGAAAATTGCTAAATTAGCTATTTACAACATGTGTATAACTGAAAATTGCTAAATTAGCTATTTACAACATGTGTATAACTGAAAATTGCTAAATTAGCACTAACACTAAAATCCAGTTGTGAAACACTAAATAAGCCTCACCCAGGTGAGTGTAAGTGCATATCACAAACCTACATTTTTCTCATTATGTTGATATTCTAATTGCATTTATTAATGCATATATGACTTGTCCTAAGCAGCTGCGTTGTGGTTGGTTTTTGACCTCCCTGCCTGTGCCCCCATCTTCATCTAGAGGATCCTTTGTCTCTCAACAGAGAACCAAGGCAATAAGCTTTTTTACTGCAGCATAGGGCAAGAATGTCTTTAGTGCTGCAGTTTATTCTTTGACCCGTTTGTTCTTTAACTCTTTCCTCTCATCCATAATATAGATCAGCACTCTATTTTCCTCATAAACAGTGTTTCCTCTTAAAGCATGTTTTTATTTTCATCTGCAGCTTGACTGTCTGTCTGTATATAGACAGCTGTTCTGAAATGCTGAGTTCATATATGTGCCTAGCTTTATGTATAGAACCCTCCTTGCAGAGGGGAGTGGGGGCTAAACAGGAGACAGCACAGTGTTTCACACATTCTTCCTCCTGATACTTTTTTAATAATAGTGGTCTTCATGAGTGTTTTTTGACAATTTTTTATATCATTTAACATGTTTATTTTGAATAAAATATTAAAGCATTTTTATTATTAATGTTTATCATTCAAGGAAGGTTTGGGGGGCAATTTTCACTAGTAGGGCTTTGAACTTTATCTATGGTGTTCAGTGATTGTGGCTTTCTTTTTTTATAGGTTATCCCCTTCATGCACCTGAAGCCTACTTTCCCTATTTCAAGAAACATAACGTCACATCAATCATAAGACTAAACAAAAAAATTTATGAGGCAAAACGCTTTACTGATGCTGGTTTCGAGCATTATGACCTGTTCTTCATAGATGGAAGCACACCAAGTGACAGTATAGTTCAGAGGTTCCTGACCATCTGTGAAAATGCTGACGGTGCCATTGCTGTACATTGTAAAGGTGTGGGCACTTACTTCTCAGATCAAAGTTCAAAATATCTATAAATCCATAGAATTTATCCAGAAATAAAGCATTTAACAAATAACACTTTCTGGTTGTGAAAGTGATATTGCTTTATGATACTTGACTAAATATATGCCAAATATTTGTTATTTTCATGTGTATATTAAGTTCTTTCATCCTACACTGTTACTTTCAGCAACTGACAATCTGTTGTTCATTGTTCTGTTTTTTTCTTAATATTAACTTGAAAACATGAGATTTAGTTGATGCAGGTTTCTCTTTTGCATTATGCTTTTACAGCATTATGATAATTGGCTAGGAAATGTAAAAGACTAAAAGGTTTTCTTTGTGCTTTTGGACTGTTCTACATTTTTCTGTTGAGTATGAATTCCACATTTCAATTTAATATGAGTTATTGTGATGCTAGCATTTCAAACCAGCCTAATTCAGCAAATCAGCCCAAAAATACACAAAATATGCTTAGAACAAAGGCTTTGAAGGGTTCAGCTTGATTTATGTTTCGTGTTGTGTAAAGACATTGTGGAGACGAATGTCTTGCCGATCAGAAGCAAGAATGATGCTATTCATAATTTTCCTATGAACAATAAACATGCATATCAAAGATAAATGCTTTATTTGCTAACAAGTTGTTATGGTTGCTAGAAACCAGAAATTGTGGCATTAATAAGCTGGACATCTGCTATTTGGCTCAATGAGAGTATAAACTATTGATTAGCAGGAGTACGTTATTGGTTGTTTATGGAGTTGGTTGCTAAATGAATATAACATAATTTCTATTGAGATATACATGTGCTTTCTAAACTGAAGTATTTTTCGTCTTTTGTCTGACCATTTAATAAGCAAACTAACAATCTTATTCTTTTTAGTTTTTTACAGCCTTCTAGATAAGCCTATACAAAGTTAAATCAACAACTAAGTCAGACCTAACTCAGATTTAATATATTGCAGAGATATTCCAAATACAGCTTTCCAACTAGAAATTGGTTGTCCCAAAAGTTATAGAAAAGTTCAATGCAAAGGATTCTAATGGAAAGTTTGTAAATTAGCAGGAAGTTAAAGAGCAGAACTGAAATCGATACTTCCCCTTTTAATTGATTCTTCAGATCTTGTCTTCCAGTGTACAGTTACAGAACCTCAGTTTGTGAACTTCTACCCTCATCCTTTTACCTTGGTCATCTTCACTTTCAAAAAAGGGCAGGATTTAGTTATTGGTTAAATGTAAGGAGCTCGTAGTTGTGTATGGAATTATCAGCAGATGTCTGGCTGCTTAGGGAGTTTCCATGTGGATTGTTGTTGGTGCATAAACAACAGTCAGCCACCACGAGACTGCAAATTGCCAATATTGTACTCGGGGGAAAATAAGGTTTAAATGGGGTGATGCTTTACTAGTCGACAAGACACAGGGCTAGAAAGAGATTAATCCTCACTCTATAGTTAGAGATTTTGCTGGTAGTAAAGCTAGTTTTTCTGTCTCTCTGTTCTCCCCTTAAAACATGGATTACTTTGTGATTTGGGGGGCAGTGGGTTAAATTATTTTAAGCTATTGATATCTAATATTACGTCCTGGTCAACATTCATTGTTCTTTATATAGATAGCGGTAAATAGTTTTTTGAATAAGTTTTGTTGGTTTCACAACAAAACTTTTTCAAAAAGAAAAAGCCACTGGCTCAGAAGACACGTGCTCTCTGTGATGTGCATGTGTATTTGCACCATACCATGATTTTTAAGTATGTGTGCTGGCCTCTCAAAGGTACTTTGATTGTGTTTTTTTACCGGTTTTATAAATATAAAGTTGGTATTCAGCTTGATCACAGCTTTTTTAAAAGAATATCAGCCTTTTTTTAAACAAAATATGAAGTAGAATTGAGTGGCACAAGTGATTGCTGTTGCATGTATTCTTCTAAGCACTGTTTACTTTTTATAAGAATGAAATAGTTGTTCTTATATCTACAGCACTGCAATCCAATTATGTGATAAAGGGGATACTGAATCACAAATTCTTTCTTCAAATACTAAGATGGTGAATAACATCACATAGAAGTCTTCTTACATCCCATACTTTTATTTGATAATTATGAAATACTCACTACTGACTGTTGATACTTGTGCTTCTGTAGCTGGCCTGGGGAGAACAGGAACACTGATTGCCTGTTACATCATGAAACACTACAAGTTCACACATGCTGAAGCCATTGCTTGGATAAGAATATGTCGACCAGGCTCTATTATAGGACCCCAGCAACACTTCCTGGAAGAGTACGTATATATGCACCTTCTTTGCTAATAAGAATCAGCTGCTTCTCTACATTCTTTTCCATCTTGCATTATTTATAGGATCTGCTTCATCTACTGACATTTGCATATTACTGTCTGTTCAATATATTTAAGGTTAGTTAATATGGGATTGAAATCTAACTTACTCAGAAGCCATCAGCTCCTCTGGAGCGCTGTGCACTTTGTCCCCTTAAGGGCCACACGATCTCAGGACTCTGCATGTTTGTTTCTCAGGACTTTAGGAGTTACACAAGTGTGTTGGAAGTGGACAGATGTGGACAAAAGATTAAGTCAACAAATAGGATTTATTAAAATATTAACAAAGGAAGAATAGACTTTATATGTAGTCTGTGACTTAAAATGAATCTTAAAATGGTATCGTTGATATGTTTTTTTCTTTCTTGTAACTAAAGATTAAATAAGTTCTCGATGGAGAGGTTATGATCTCCGACAGATTCCTTAGCATAATGTATGAAACACTTCTGATTTGAATCTAATAGTTGTCAGCAAAACAAATGTATGGTTTTAATACAGCTTCAGATTTGATCTTGACTGGCAGTGAGTAACAATGATGTAGACATTAAGTTTAATGTCATAGTGGTTTCTGCATTGTGCATTTACTGTTACAGTGGTTATGCTGCTATTTTTGAGCTGATACCCTGAAAATATTTACTTGGAGGCATTTTCCCTGTTATGAGAGAAAACATTTTAAGAAAACCTACTACAAATTTGTCTCTTTGGAAAAGAGAGTATTCAACAGCTCTTCCAGACACTGTGTGAATACAGTCAAAGATGCACCAACCTTACATCTTAAAATCAATAGGATATCAGTGAAAGAAGTATTACTGTCATGGCTAAGAGAAATTGAGCAGGAATAGGGACTTTTATTTATTATCCAACTAATGGGCACTCCTGTATTTGAGAGGTGGCTTGCTATTATTCAGAATACTGTGAATCAGTATTCTGAATAATACAAGTGTTCATTGGAGGCAGAATAGTCGTCTTCACACTGTACTGATGCTTGGATGATCGTACATTCTTAAAAATACCTTGCACAATAGAGCAAAATTATGAGGAAAGGTAATAGATAATGTGTTTAGTAAGTACTGTTTACTTGTAAGAAAAACAAGGCCCATGTCTTTTCTTGTTTTGATGGATTGAATACTTGGTTTGATTTTATAGATAGGCAAAGGTACTTCAGATTTTTTTCACTTATACTTACATTACTCCTAGCTAAGAGCTGTAGCACTGTTCAGTAAGAATTTTCTAATGTCCTAAGGGTAGTAGAGAACTGTTTCGACAATCAGACAAAATTCAGGCAATGTCACCAGTAACGTCAAAGCGGGATTGGGAAGAAACATCAGTTCCATCATTCTAATATAAAATATCTTGCCCTCAGGGCTGCAAAGTTGCATCTGACAAAAAGGTAAACCCTTTCAGCTTTGATCTCCCAAACTTCATAGATGTCAAAGCTTCATCTCTTAGGTTCTTTGAGGTTTAATAAAGGGGGTAGTTCGGGGGTTTTTCTGTAGAAACACTTCTACCCAAGTATGTATCAAATCAGTTTGTTACTGTGAATGCAATTAATCTTGAAAGATTTCAAAGGTATTTAATTCAAGCATGTTTTCTAGGCTACCTTTAAAATGTAATTGCAAATTCCTGTTTAGTTAATCTCTTTTCCCAGAAGGATTTTGTAAAATGAAGTTATTCCACCTAGGAATGAAGTTTTAGTACTTGTAATATTTTTGTGATGACTACACACTCGTTTGGTGATTGGGGGGGGGGTTTGGTTATTATTTTTAACCATAGTTTTGGGGTTTTTTTGTTTGTTTGGGTTGTGGGTGTTTTTTTTGTGATAGACATTCAAATTCTTTTTCAGATGAAGATGTATGGAAGATGCAAATGTTGGCAATCTGTAAGAGTAGCATGTTTTCATATTGGCTTTTTTATATTTATGAAAATTTGTTGATATGAATGGATTTGGTTTTGTATCCTAAAGGAAGCAAGCAATGTTATGGCTGGAGGGAGATCACATCCGATCAAAGCAGAAACAGCGAGTAGTTGATGAAAACATTAACAGAGTCCTTTGTGGCTTGAATGACATTTCCATCAGTGACAGCCTAAATAAAGTACAAGACTTGGATCAATACAGGGAGGTAAGTGTTCTTGGGAAAAATTCCAAACAGACTGAAACTGAGCTTTTAATAACTAGCTGTAGATAACTTTTAGATTTTTGAGGTTTAGGCTTTTATTAGTATTAGATTGCTTTTTCTCAGATAAATTTTTTTTTTAGTTCGTAATTAGAAAAAAGATCAGGTAATATTTAAAACTGTCATAGGTAATTTTGCAAACTGAAAAGGTTTGCATTATTTCCAGGGATTCCATTTCTTTCAGGGATTTCAGTTCTTTGAGAATGAAGGAAAACAAAAAATCAGCTTTTGTTCCTATTAGTTAAAAACTTATTCCAAGTTTCTAATTAAGAATGCATCAGTGTATAAACACCCATCCCTTTATCACAGTGTTATGCATGGATGAGGTGATGTGCACGTTTAGGGTAAGGACCTTATGACAACTTTCTGGGAGCACAGGAATGAAGTCTTAACTAAAGGGAAAATACTTTTGTTTCTGGAATAGTAAAAATCTTAAACTTTAGTTTCCTACACTATCTGTAAGAAACAGTTTAGATTAATTGCGTCAAATGCATTTCATTAATCCCTTCTCAGCTCTGTAATAACTAAAGAGGTTTTAGGTTGCTGATGGAATTCTTTCCTTGATGTGAAAGACCAGGGATATAGTGAGCACCTTCTTCATATAATTATTAGTATAAATTAAAATAATCATCTGTCATAATCTGGAAGAGCATCTTGAATGGATTTCTGTACAGGTACTGTTTCCCTGTATTTCACTTTTTTACAGATGTCACATTAAAGTTGTTCAACATTCAGTTTTCAAACCATTTGACTTATCTCATTATCTCTTTGGATATTTGGTTATATCTCAAGGCCTCATTAAAATAGGGCTCTCTAGAAGCTCAAAACAAAGTAATATTCCCAATCTCAAAAATGCATGAGGTCAAAGAATCAGAAGAGGGGGCAGCTACATGCAGTAACTGTAGGGCAGGTAAAGACTGTGAAACAAAATTTATCAGCATGTGGCTGAATGATAGGTAACAATGGCCTACCATATAATCTCCAGTGAAATCTAGCTAAGATATTTGTATTTTCCTATAATTAATGCAACAGTTAGACCATCACATCATTTTATCAACTTCTATCATATTACTACTTCTGTCAATCTTTTATGTTGGTTAAGGGCATAAACTATTGTTCTGTTTTATCCAAAGCACTGAGTTCCCTTAGGCACAGTAGGAACTGTGGTAGAAATACTTGATCTAGGGTCAAATGAAGTATAATTGGTATTATTGTATTTTGAGATGAATCTGAAATTGTAAATAGGCATTTAAACACTCTATTTCTTCGACTGTTTAGTGTTTTCTAAAGCTAGAAGAAATAGGATAAAACTCTGAAATCTGTTCATTCTATATTCCTTATTAAGTTCACATAGGAAATTTTTTTTCAAAACTTATTTTTCTAGAGATCATGACAACTTTTACTTGTTTATTTTTTAAATGTAGTAATTTAGTAAAGTTGATTTTTAGTGCCTCTTGCAGGACATACAGCTTTATCTAAATTTCTTCCTCATTTGTGCATAACATAAAATTTTGTGTTACTGCTTTCCTTCTGTGCTGATGATAACTTTAAAAGTACTTATGGACGAAGTAGTTGAGGTTTATGTTCTACAAAACCAGACTTCTTTGAAGTAAATAAATGCTGGCATTAGACTTGAGCATCCTGAACTGACTTTGAGGTCAGATTCTGCAAAAATCCTCTGTGCATGTGTGTTTGTACAGTGACACATTTAATCTGCTGGAGCTATGCGAAGAGTAGTGCCGATGTATGCAGAGGACTATAGATTAGTCTTTTAGATTTTAATCTTCATGAAGATGTTCAGTTCTTTGAAACTACACTGCTCCAAAGGATTTGATATATTCTCTTGCTTGCATCCTTTTGTGTTTCCCAGAATGATTTTGAAGACAAAGCAGATGTGGAAACTCAGAATGGCATGACACAGGGAGATAAGCTCAATGCCTTAAAAAGTCGGAGACGGCCTTGTTCTGCTACAACTGGAGCTCTGAGGTAATTGTCATTCTGAGGTAATTTGCAATTTTAGATTCTGTCCATGCTATCAGATCTATGTGGCAAGTACATGATCTTGTTTAAGGCAGTGATACTAACTGTAAATTGTACCACTGTCTGTGGTGGAAATTTCTCTAGATATATATCTATTAGTTGCAGATTTGGTTTATTAATTTTTTCTTTTATCTTCTTTTCCCCTTCTGTCTCTCTGTTCAGGATCTCTTCTTACTGTGTAACCATAAAAGATAATGTAAAAAAAAATCTGAAAACCTTCACATTTCTATTTATCTAGCATTCTAAAACTTACGACTTGAACAAAAATATTCTTCAATGAACTTAGTTGTCTTTCTATAATTACTTTTCTGAACCAGTAAAAATATGAACTGTGAAAATAAACCTAAAGTACCTGTCTGCTGTTTACCTGTAAATTAAGATAGTGACTGTCAATAACTCTTAACTCTTGGTCTTGTATTTTAAGCCAGCCTGAGACATGAAAATATACTTTGGCAGAGGGGAAAGGCTTTTTATCCTTGGATAAAGACTGCTGCTTTTGTTTCTTTAGGCTGCAAGACATGAAACTGCACACCAGGTCAATATCACAACCCTTCAGGTATTAACTTTAAAGTTCTAGTTTTAAATGTGTACCATTTGACTTGGGTCTTAATTTTCAGCATTTTGGGTCATAGTTATCACATCAATTGATTAGCAATTTCTGGCTTACAAGAATAGGCAGCTAACAAAGTTTTTGAAACACCTGCAAATTGCATGCTTTACCTCATTGAATCTAATATACAACATATAAGACAAGATTTCTATCATTAGAAAGCATTAATACTGAAAAGAGCACAATTTTTTTAGTTTTGTGACCTGGATTTTTGAGTCGGATTACTCCGTATGGCTAACATTGAAAATGTCTGTTTTACCCTTTCTTGGTAATTAAAGCTACTTCTGTTTAATGCCATTCCTTCTGTGCTTGTATTTGGAGATTTTTACCCAAGTTATTTGATCTGTTAAGGTCTGATCATGATAATATCCCCTGGTCTAAGGATGGAGAAAATTATTGTTTTAATAAACTATTGTAGGCAGCCATAATGGTAACACTATTGAGTAGTCCAGTGTAACACATATACAGCTCAGTTTCAAACCAAGAAGAATTTGATCATTAAGACCCCCACTCTAGAAGGAGCTGTATGTTCTGTGCAACTTTGTGAAAATGTTCATGCTGTCATTTGGAAATGATGATGATCTCATGAAAGCTGCAGTGTCATTTTCTTCTACTCATACTCAATTTATAAGCACAAAAAGTATTCTTTCTCAAATTCACATTTAAAATCTATGATAAAATTTACAATAAATCTATAAAAAATGGACACTTGGCCTTTGTAAAATATCAAAGTGAAAAGTAGCCTATAACTGTATAATAAGGTGCAGCAGGGGAAATTCTTGAAGTGGAATATTTGGAAAGTTTTTTTGAAAAGATACTTGAAAACAGCCAAATTGTTACATTTTTGGTGTTCTCAGACTTGAGAATTCCCATTTTTTAAAATACCAGTCTATATATCGAAAGACTAGACTGTATGTGTTTGAGATGTATATTTTAATTATAAAATCTTGCTTCTCACTAAAACTCTGCACTCCTTTTAGACTGAATACTTCAGGTAGCACAGAAGGATCCATGTCTCCTCTGAAGGCCTCCAAAGTGATGGCAGTTAACTCACCATCTGCAGAAAGAATAAGCAGACTTGCCACATCCTCAGGATCTAACCTCAAAAGGTTTTTTTCTTCTTCTCATTTTGGTTCAAGCACTTACCGTATTCTCCACTGGTTGTCAGCACACGTGCAGTCTGTGAAGTGCTTGCTGTTCTTGGGTGTAAGAAGGCTTAAATTTATTTACAAAGTCATTTGCTGTTCCACAAGCCAAGCTTTAGTTGCCTGCAGATTTAAAAAACAAAGAAAAGCTAAAACCTGTCCTCCTGGTCTGAGCATTTTGTTGGGATTGTGTTGTCAGAAACAGTATTACATTGCTAAAGTTTTGGGGTTTTTTTTTCACTTACATCAGTTCGTAGACATTTTGCAGGTATTCCCACAAGTGAATATACTGTTACTCAGAAGAATACTGAGTGGTAATCAATATGACTTTTATGAACCTTTGATTTATTGCTATTTATTTCCATTATTACTGTTGTCCTAAGTAATTATATATGTTAAATGAAATTTAGAATGATAAATGCATTTTTAATAACTCTGGGCACAAATATTTACCTGAAGAGAGTAACTGACTTGAGATATTTCAGGACACCCTATTTTTATTCTCAGATTTTATCATATTACTTCTTGGTTACTTGAAGGCTTATACCGCATTACTGATTTCAAGCAGCAGAAGAGGAGTTCCTAAACTGTCACATGTACAAAAAGTAATTCAGAGTAGATCAGACACTGCCTAAACCTTTTAATATGATCTCCTGCATGTGCATATGGTTTGACAGAGCTGAAAGCCGGCCATGGTAGTGCTGAATAAGCAAAACTTGGGAACTCCTGACAAAGAATTCTGCTTTTCATTACTTAGGAGCTAGAAGATGAACCTGTGTGCGAGCACAAATTATTTCAGAACGGTCTGTGTTATTCACCTAATGCCTTCTGAATTGTCTGTTACATTTTTGTATATATCTCTACATACCTTGTGTATATTTTTTTCCCTGCATGTGTTTTCCATTCAGCGTTTCCATAAACTCCAGACTAGCCAGTTCTCTAGGGAACCTGTATGCTGCTTCAGATGATGATGGGAGCAAAATGACATCATCGTGCTCTAGGACAGGTTTTTCTGTAAGCCATATCTCCAGTCACCTGAATGGCAGCTTGCAGCTGCCACACAGAAATACCCGCGAGCTGAACAACAACTTGTACAACAGAAGCAGCAGTAGTGGCAACAACCTGAGCAGCCAAAGCAGTTTGCACAGCGCCGTGACAGATGGGTACGCACCAGCCTTCCTTTATGGGCCTTACAGCTCCTCCAGCACCATACCAGAGTCAATTAATTCCTGTAAGTTCATACTCACAACAGCACTTCCAGGCAGCTGAGTGATGCTTTTCTGCCTTGCTTCTGTGAGCAAAACTGTCGCAAAAAAAAAATCTTAACTCAGCATAATTCTCTGACTTCCTCTAACACTTCTGAACAGCACCTTTATCTCTTATCTTTTTAAGTAATTATCATTTCAGCTGGGTTTTTTTTCCATGTCTTTTAAATATCTAGTACATGGAAGGTTCACTAAAATAAGTGACTCCTGAACTTTCACACCTTTTCTGATTTTTTTTTTTTAATGGACCATCCTATCCTTTGGATTTTTTTATTTCAAATTATGCATAACATAGTTTAGAACTTTATTATGTATCTTTATCTTCATGCAGTAACAGATTTAAAGAAGGTTTTCTATGTATCATACTAAATAAAAGGTAAATGTCCCTAAAGATAGGGCTTATTTGAAAGATTAGTCCTCCTGATTTGAAACCTAGTCCTTTTCTAACAGCAAATGTGAAAAGTATTATAGAGCAAGATATTTCTGATGGTTTCACATTGCAGCTTTCATTCCTCAACAACTTTGCTGCCTTGGACTTATTTTATGCTCTTTTTTTTGTGTGAAAGAGTCTGTATAAAGAGGATGCACAGATAAATTAATGCAATTTGAAAGTGATTCTATACAAAATGCAGAGAAGAGAGACTAGAGAAACTCCCATTAAGAAATCAGAAATAACTTCATCTAATCTAGGGAAAAATAAATATATCTGCTACTAAAAATCTAAAACCAATTTAAAATTTCTAGTTTTCAAAGATTTGATATCCTACTAATTATAAAACTTAGTGCAGTGTTTTTAAAAGAGTATTTTGCCTACAATTAATTGAACCTGTCAGCCTCTGTTTACTAGTACTGACACTTCAGATTTTTATTTTTTTTACCTGCTGGAAATAATATTGGCTTTGTGTATAATTAACTTCAGAATATTGCACCTCTCTCTCTTATTTCAGTATAAAGAAAATTTTAGTGTTACACCTGCTCCTGGTTTTGAGTGTGGTGAGTCTCTGTCTTAAAGCAGCTAATAACACACATTGCATGTAACTGGGATGTCAGCTGAAAAGATCATTCATGGGTTGTGTTCTCTTTTTCCTGCAGAAGTGGAGGACCTACCCCCATGTTAACAGCTAGGATGTGGCACCTCTTACAATTCAGAAGCCGCATGTTTATAGCTCGGGGTATGAATTGCACTTTCTGAGGATAGATGGCAGTAGGAAATAAATTCTCATTGTCCTATTGTGGAATTAAATTGCATGTGACTGAAACCTAACCTACATACAAAGTATATTGAAAATGGAGTTAGTTGGGGGAACTTGATTCTGTGTTCTCTTTAAGTCAGTGGCTACTTCCTACTGTGGTAGGATGTGCTTAACCTAAAGCAGCTCTTTAAAATACTTGATGCTTTCAGACTCCTCGTTCGAAAAGTACATTTAGCTTCTTATCCACTATAGCTTATCTGGAAATAAATGCTAATATTCCATGATCTCAGGATCACCAAGTCATCTGCATTGAGTTTAAACTTTACTTTAAACAGCAGCAGTAACTTATTTGCAAGGGAGTTCTTGAATATTGCCACATCCTTTCAGTTTTTTGAAGTTGTTTCCCATCTAATGTGACTGTTTTTCCCTACTGCATGGGATTGAGGTAAACTGTATATAATTGAGGCTTCAAATGGATACAAAAACCATATCAGTTTTTCTATGAGGAAACGAATTCTAGAACAAGAAAACTGCTTTAGTTTAACTAATTAATTTAATTACTTCAGGCACAGAGATAAGGAGAGGGATGAAAAGCTGCACAGCAAGCAGGGAATGTTTGTTTTGAGGCACATCAATGAGTCTTTTATTTGTTCATGAATTCTGATTGCTCTGAAGAGTCATCCTTTTTAGGTGTTCCCACTCTTTAATCCAGCATGCTTACAGAAATTCAGTCCTCAGGACTGACAGAGCCCCAGTTGGGGGTAGTACACCAACAGTGGTTGAGAGCAATCAGTCATCTGAATAACTAAGTGGTAAAGTGACTGATTTGATTTTTTTTTTTTAATTTCTCATTTTCAATATTGTCTCATATTGAATGTAATGAACAATAATTCTTTGGAGAGTCAGTCCATTCTTGTTCTTTTCAGTTCTATCTTTTGTAAATTATATGCTGCCAGCAGCATTTCTTAAGAGTTTTTTTCGATATTCTACTTACAGCTGCCTATTATGCATTAAATATATGCATGTAAGCCTACATGCAGTGCCCTAAGGGGAAGAAAACACCTTGTAACTGTAATGTGACTTAGTTATGAAAATAAGCTGACATCTTTCACATTTGGCCAAAATTTACAAGAGTATTAAATGGTAATATAAACAATTACAGGAACAATAAGCATGTTTCCTCAAACAGCTTAAAAGGTTCAATGAAAATATAACATTTTGAAAATAAAAACCGTCATCTCCTTTGGAGAGGTAGTTGCCATACCTTAATGCTACAAATAATTCTTAACAATGAGAGCAAAGTTAGTGGGCTTGTTCCTTAAGCATAGGATAAGAAGTTAATTACTGCTGCCACTTTGTTTCTTTTTTATATCTAGATATTTACAAAATTCTAGGTTAGCACTGGGTGTCTCCTTAATCTTATAAACCCTTGAGGTTCAACATAATGGCAGCGACAGAAAAATTTCCCAAATATATGTGGGGAGAGGGCTGGGCTTACAGTGTAAGTGACTCTTCCACTGTTGTAGCATGCCTTTCCTTCTTAGATAAAGGTGACTTAGCAAGAGGGAGAAAAACAAGGAATGTTAGTTACTGCTTAACTTAGGGAAGAGAAAAGGAGCGGGTGAAGAGGTGAAACAGCCATCTTGACAGCAGAGAGGGACTTCGTGCTGTGTGTGTTGTGGTGAAGAAGGAAATTAATTGTTGTCTCCTTGCAATAGAACTGTGAAGTGATTTAAAACCGATTTAAATGAAATATGTTAAGCATAGTATAAAGTTTTAGGTTGACTGGGAAACGGTGAAGAAAAAAGTGCTTTCTAAAATGCACATTTCTCCTGTTTAAGAACATCTTTAATTTTCTTCCTACCTATCTTAATGACTTAGTAATGCATGGAAGGATGTAAGGGTGTAACCTTTGAATAATTCTTGGCTTGATATCATTTGGTGTTGAGGAGTAGAGGTTATACACAGTTGAATACAGCAAGATCTTTATATGAGATTCTATATCAGTCTTCTTTGAAGAGTGAGGTGAGATAAAAATACTATATTTTATATAACATATACTGTGATATGAAAAGCAGCATTTCTTAGGAAGAATCATGCCATGCAAAGTCTATGTAGCAAAGTACAAGTTTCTGATTTACTGTAAAGTAATATTCTTTCAATATAATGGTTAAAAAGTTTTCCTGTTTGGAATATGTTTTTCAAATATGTTCTGACTAATGCATTTGCTTCTAAATATACCATATGGCCCTGTGCATCTCTCACAGTCACAGTAGAATACACTAAACTGTTACCCATTTTATGCACAACTGACTGAGTTGAGTGTAGTTACTGTGATGTCATGATGTGTAAGACAAGAGTAGATTATTTGATCATTTAGTCTCTGAATGCTTTGTGCCTGGTAGTGAGCGTCTCACTGGCTTATACAGATGGCTTATTTTGAGGACAATATAATTTTTCTGAATGATTAGTCCCACTGATTGAATACAGTCATGCTTAAAACAATTTCACTTTTAACCTGAAACTTTCTGTTTTTCTTTATTATGTCACTGTTATAGTCCTTTATTATCTTATTTTCTTGTCATGAAGACATCTCATGCTAGTCATCTCAACTTGATTTTCTTTTGATAAGCTAAGTTGGCTCAAATATCCTTTTGGAAAATGTTCAAATTCTTTACTTTTTGAAAATCTTTCTGGTCCAGAAAGCTGCTACTCAGTGCTGTCCTGCTTGTTAGTCCATAGCTTGTTTTATCTTCTTAACTGTAATATGTTGGAAGTTTAGGGGGAGGGAAAAAAAGAGGTCTTGCCATCGAAAATACTGACTTGTATTTTAGTCCCATGTCCTGCATTCCCCATGGGTTTCCTTGGGTTTTTTAATGTGGAATTTTGTGGAAAAGCATAATTTTTTTCGCCATCTCCTCTTCTTAATGGAACCAATTAGCCAACTAAAGATTTGTTTTTTCTTACCACTTCAACCACTGACATCCAGCTATTTTGCTTTTGGTGATATGCATCAGTGGGCTGAAGCTCATGAGCAAAATATGGAGTAGCATCAAGCCTTAATACCACTTCTGGCAGAATTCTGTTAAAAACAGAAAGAACTGCAATGTAACACAAACCCTTTCTGCAGCAAGACTAAGGTTTGCTGTCAAGGCTTCCAAGCAATTTCACCATTGAAAGCAGAGAACTGGAAATCATTAAACAGAATTCTAATTGGAGCACATCAGATAAGGTACCTGACAGAAGTCTATTACATATACTGGTGCTTTATGCTTATTCACTTAGCTTAGCTCATCAGAGGACTCCTGAATGATACTGATTAATTACCTCTCTCTTTTATTGGCAAAATCTCCCTTACCTGAGTTAGATATCAAGCTAACCAGCTGTAATCACATACTCTATTTTAGAAAAATCACCTTATCACTCTTATTTGTCCCTCTTTGTTAACTATCAACATCAGTGGTGCAGGAGCATTTTAAGATGGTTAGGACAGTACTTTTTCAGTTCTCATTTATGTTCTTCAAACTCATTAGTGAGAAAATTTTGAATTCCATTTTTATGCAAGTACTTTTTTTCCCCCCAGTGTGGAAGAGTTATTCACTACTCTTTTTTTTTTTTCTGTTTTGTAATGAAACAACATTAATACTGTGTTCCACGTTCTATTTAACAAAAAAGAACAATAAGAAATAACCATGACTATGACTTCCTGTTGTTGTCAGCCATATATTTTTCCTTAATGGTTTTTGTCCTTCATCAGTGTAAGCTAAATATCCACTTCTTTTTATCATGTTTATGGTGATGAACTGAAAGAAAATCTTGATTTTCAAAGAATGGAAAACTTGCCATTCTAGCCAAATAGAATAAATATTTTATTTGCAAATTTTACAAATTGGATGTTTTGATTAAACAGAATGTCTCACAATTATAATTTGCAGAATTATTCTTTTCAGGTAGAATCACATTTAAGGTACAGTAATAAGATTTTTACTTTTTAAAAAGAAATCTCTAAATTCAAATATCACTCTTAAAAATGTATTTTCATTGGAGAATATGTAACTGGGTAGTCTTAAGATGAGTCACCTTTTGCTTCTATAGCTGTCATGGAAACTGGTGCGATTGAAACATTTAAAAAAAAAAAGGGAAGGTAGCAGTACTTTAAAATGCATATACATCATTATACCTGTAGAATAGTTTCTCTTAATAAGAACTTACTATTAATTCAGGACAGTGTTTGCAAAAACATAGACAAATGCTAGTGCATCTCACTGATCTTGGGTCTTGTGTATTCACAGTAATTCTTGCCTACTGCAACATTCCTAATTGCAACGGTGTTTTGGGAGAGTTGATGCACAATGCAAAAAACTTAAATTACATTTGCGCAATTATCTGGGAAAAGTACATGTTCAAATCTTAACAAATAGCCCTAAATTCTACAGGGTTGTTCCCTATTAAAGGTAACTCACAGCTGACTTGATCCTGAAGTTGAATGTGTGCAAATACAGTTCTAGTGCCTGGGTGGATCTGTTGCTTATTTTCTCTTCCAGGAGGCTTTCTGTGCCTAGTGATCTAAGTAGTTGCTTTAACATGAACTTCATTAGATATCCTTGTGTCTTAATTCTTAGTTCTTTGGTTAAATGTCTGGTACTTGGGTATAAAATGCCAAACATGACACAGCATGGGACCACTGTAGAACACACTGAGACTTTGACTCCATTAACTGATTTTATACTCATCATTGCAATTCAGCAGTCAGTTTTCTTTGGTTTTTTCCATCTATTTTTACCTCTATTTCAATAAGATTTTAAATACGATTTTGTTAAATCCAGATATTACTTGTAAAAGTGGATTGGGGCTTTTTGTTTTTAATAATGCTTTCAGAATCATAGGCCATACTTTGAGTCACAGCAAATGTAAATTTTAAAATAGAAAACTCCTCAAAAGATTAAAAAAAAAGAAAAAAATCTCAATTACAGGCTTTGAAACGTTACAGTCAATCTCTTCAGACATGTGAAGAGATTTAAGAGCACAAATTACTTTTCCTCAGAAGCAAAAAAACCCACCAGAACAACAAACCTTCCCTGCTATATTTTAATTTTCCAAACTCAAAAATGAGTATCTGTACTTTACAATAGCTCAGTTGTTAGGGCTATCACCATGTTTTTGGTAATAGAACTTTATGTGAAGTCACATAAATGGATCTTAATCTGGAAAATAATCCTGTTTAGATTTAATTATTTCTGTATATTCAGAAAATAAAAAAATAAAGAACTGTTCACAGTTCTTTGTCAGCGAACACTGACTGCTTTTAAGATCACCAAAAGTGTACAGTGCTTTCTGGTCATCTTTCATCTGTCCTAGCTATAAGTAATCTATTACTGTACAACATATGAGAGTATATAATTAAATTTCATGCCTTTTTTTTAATGTTTGTTAATCAGCTTTACTTGGAATTCAGTTTTCATGAATCCGTTTCAAATACTGCTCTAATTGAGTGTAACTGTCTATTATTAAAATACACATCTGAAAATGAGACACCTTAGAGGACCATTAGGAAAGAGGGCAGAAGTTTCAAGTGCTCATTAATGAAGACCTATTCCTTTTGCCTTGCCTTTACTAAAACCAGACCCTTTTTAGTCAGTGGTATTCAAATCTATATGCTGTGACAGCACTTCTTCTTCAACCTAGGAAAGAATATCCAGATGGTCTCAGATCTTCAAGATGTGAAAATACATTTAAAAGACAACTTTGGAAATATACACTAAGATTTATGATATAGGGGGGAAAGTGTTTTTGTGATATTAGTTAGAACCCTAGAAGTTTATATATCTATTATGCACTTCTACTAATGGGTTTCACTATGGGTGCCAAAGAGCATTTCTGTAGTGACTGGTTATGAATAGTAGGAAAATGGAAGGCAAGACTCTGAGGTTCTGATCTATGTTAGGACTCATGTTGGTCTCCAGTAGTTCTCCCTAATTCTGCTGCAGTTCTTAAATATGCTTGGGGTTTTTATTTGCTATTTGTTTATAACCATACTAATACAGTGATGAGCTCTCTCATATAAGACTTATTATTCATCAGAATGACTTCTTAAACACATCTATGTATGAGCTAATAAAATGTTTGGATAGTGTCTAAACTGATTAATAAGTTTTTAATAAAACCTTAGATTTCAGTAAAAACAGAAATGTCAATAAATACAGAATAAATACAGTAGACCGGGTTGTACTTTCATCTTAATTATACTGACTTCTTACTAATCCAGATGAAACATTTGCAGTGCTTCATTTTCATCTGTTTTTAGTAATCATGGTTAAATTTATGCATATGCATAATTGTGCTGTTGTAGCTTTTTTTTTTCCCCCTCAATAATTAGCTACACCATATGTTTCCTGTATCATTATCTCAATCAACATCTAAGGTATGCCTAATTTTTTACAGTAGCACTTGGACTCTCATTCAGGATAAGGGGAAACAATTCAATTATACTAACAGCTATCATATATGTCCTCAACACATTTTAAGGTATTGTTTTAATGTGGTATTTTAGAGGACTTTTTATACTTTCTTTAAGAATCTTAAGAATTTGTTTGGAAAAGTAAGTGTAGATACAGGAAAGTTGATGGATTCAGACTTTAGTTTCTTCTATTTTATTCATCTGTACCTGTGCAGAGATTCAGATCCCCCTCCAATTCTGTTTATTTTTCTCCTTCCTGTCCTTCCTCTACTCCTTATCTTTAAGTGAAAGATACATATTATATCCAAATACAACCTCTTCAGTGAGTTTTAATCAGTTTTTCTTCTCTGCACAGTCCCTTCAGTCTGAGTATGTTCAGTACTAAAGCCTTGCTGCTTTGGTGAAACCTGCTGAGCTCTTCAAATTGATGTTCTTTATGAAGGAGAAGAACTGAAAAAAAGCTGCTCATTAAGAGGAGGAATCTTCAATACAAGCTTAACACCAAGAGAAGACCTCTTAACAGGAGAAATTTCTTGTTAATGACTACTGCAGATGCATTGATGTTGAATTTATGGAAATTACTACCCCATGTTATATACACATTTAAATTTTTTATGTTGAGACCGCTTGAATATATTTCTAATGAGTTTCATTAAGACATTTATTAACTTGTGTACAGTGTTAAAATATCTATTAAGAGAATATTTTGGTAAACTATAAAAATTATGTAAAAATTAGAATATATTTTAATTTAGTGTCTACTTTGCTACAAAAATGTGTATTTTAAAGAATTTGTACATGTTTATCAAAGATATAAAAATTTTTTATGAACAAGATGTTTTTCTTGTTTAATGGGTCCATCATTATTGCTCGAAGCCTCATGTAATTACTCTTTTACTAATTGGTCTTCTGGTAACTTGATGGAAGTCCTAACTAATGAGAGACTAGTTGTTACAATATCAGCTAAAAGCACTTGATAAATAGTCTGCTCTCCACTTTCAGCTCCTAATGTTTCTTAAGGAAACACCATGAAAGAAAACTAAAGGGAAAATATTTGTTGAGATATGATGTAGTTACATCTTTCACTGCAAAGAGAAAGTAATTTATTTAATGATTCAGTTGTACAACTAAGACTTTCAATTTGTCTTAAAGGAATGTTTTGGTTTTGATGTAGAATGTTAAATTTTGCTATGCAATATATACTGCAAAAATGAAGGCAGACCAGACTGAAGTTGGTAAGAATGTACATATACAGTGAATTCAGCAGCACTGCATACTTGCATGTTTTGAACCTACATTTGGCAGTATGTGTACAATTTCCTTAGCAACACACACTAAATGTTGGAAGTATATTAAATTTTCATTTCTCATTTGGATGCTTCATACACCTTTAGTTTTTTTGTTAAATATATAGTTTAGGTAACCTCCTGTATCATGGAATATTTTTGCCAGTAATAAAGATGCTCTTTAACATATAGTTAAATCAGATGTTATTACCAACGAGACTTAGAATTAAATGGTGTTACAGTGAGGTCCTAGAGACCAGGTGTAAAATTTTCAGAACTCCACAAGGGCATAGTAAGGAAAGTAATGAGATTATTTGATTTGCCACTAATCTGTAAGACAAAACCAAAACAGATTTGTTACCTATTAGTTTTCCCAGTATCTACAGAAACTTGAAAAAAAAAAGTAAAACTTGGTTGAATTATCAGGTTTTTTTCCTGAAGACTTGTGAATGCCCTGCATTTGCTTTACAACTAAAGTAAAGACAATGTGCTACAACATTTTTTAAAAAGATCAGATCGTAAATTGCTATAGCAAGTTGTACTGGAAGTGTTAATAAGCAAAACTGAGAGCAGCTAAAAAAATCATTGAATAAAATTTACTGTACTTTTTTTGCAACTGTGTATATGTAACATATACACACACGAAGTAGCATATGTGTGTGCATATATATATAAAATATACTGTATATGAATTATAGAATAATGGTAAGGTAATTCTACCTCTTATAAAGAATTTTCTCATGTACTTTGTTATAAATAGTTTTCCTTAATAAAATATTGATTAATTTTGAAATGTAGATATATATACATATACAGCTAATTGATAATAAAATACCCGTATAAGCCAGCTTCCTTGTTTCTTGTTTTCTCTTAGAACTGTTGATGCAAACTAATGTGATTTGATTTCTAACTGAAAGTAGCTCTTCAAAATCATCTTTTTTCTTCTAAATCATGTAATGTATTTCTAAGTAGGATGATATTGCAAAAAAAAATCAGCATGATAGATACCTTTTTTAACTGATCTAACTAACCTTCTTGTATTTGCTTCTTGTGTATTTGCATAATGTCAGGTATGTAATCAACATGTTGATATGATGTAGGGGCTATGTTTCAGAATACCATAATTTAAAAGCTGTGTCTGAATAGAGGAAACCTTCCTGGGCAAGGGCCCTTTTTAAAGGTGTAACATGCCTTGTCTTTTTTGCTTGTGCAACAGGTTTCTCAGTCCCACCAACAGCAGAGTCTTTGTCCATAAGAATCTCAACATGCTTTCATTTAGCTTTTTGTCCTTCCTTCATTCAATTAAAGATTAGTCACAAATGGTTTTAACATTGTTTGACTCCACTGCTGATTTTCAGCAGATTTGTTGCATTGCATGATAATTTATTTACAATACTTAATATTCCTGTCCAGTAAGTCGCTACTGCGATAGGTGGTGTGGACAATATGTAACAGTTCCACAGCCCCTCTAAAGGAATAGCAAAGCCAGGAATAGAGTAGATGCTTTAGAAGTTGCCCAAATTCTAGTGACAGTCTAATCTAAGAACACAATAAAAACTTCTGCCACTGCATTCAGATGAATAATAGATGATTTGGATATGTAAATATAAAGGGAAACCAGCTAATTAAAAAGTTTCTAGTACATAGGAATCAAACTCTCGCTTGGCCTTTTTCTAGAATTCTGTTCCTTTATTATATGAAATACATAAATGTCAGCTAATGTACAACCTTTTTTGTGCTTAAAAATGAATTATAAGTAAGTCAGTACTCTGTAACAATCAGCTTCTTAACAACAACAAAAAATTTGGGGACAGTGAAAGGTTCTTTTAGAACCATGTAGCTTTTAATAAATACTCTGAAACTTATTTCATATTCTCTGTTCACCTATCCTTGAACTTTACCATTTCTGTTCCTTCATATATAAATAGATCTTGTTCTGGGAGAACAAGCTGTAGCACACAAGATCTTAAAAGACAGGAATGGATGTGTTAAATAAATCTAAAGGTCTCTAATGGGCCTATGCTACTGTGGCTAGTATCTTTTGAAACTGTTAATCATCTCTTTTTAAAGTATGCTTTATGAAGCTTTTTGGTTAGGGAGCTATTTCTTGTTACAAATTCAGAGAATATTTTTCAATTACAGTACTGCAGAAAGAGGAGGATTTTAGTTTCTATAATAACTGTTCTTTACTGACAGCTAAACAATAAAAGGCCTCAAAAGGTTTGACACTTGATTAGATCTACACTGTAAAGTGCAGCAGGCAAAAAATATGGTAATTAAGGGCCTGATCAAGTAAATCACTCAAGTATGTCTTTAACCTTAAGCACATGAGCAATCTAATTAAAAGAGAGCATAGATATTCATGTTAGTAACAAAGCCACCTTTGGATCAATAGTTCTGTCAATTGCAAACATGAGCCTTCCTGTCGAATAAGAAATGTGCTGTATTGCAACAAAATAACCCATTAACCCACACAAATTAACTTTGTTAACTTAAAAAAATGCATATTGTAACTGTAACTACCTCCTAATATATGATGTTGGTATTGTCATTTGGTAGCATCGGGAGTTACGAATGTCTAAAAATGCCTTGCAAAGGTATCTTTGGCCAATGTACAGATCATACCTTATGAGCTGAGATTGTTTGCTTCTGTTGCCTACATATAACCTACCTGCAAAAGCAACTTTTCTCCTTAACTCATCACAAAATTAATCAGCATTCTTTTTTTGGAAAGCTTTTGAAAGGAAACAGAAGTTCTTTTACTGAGTTTCTTAATCTTTTCCAAGGGTAGAGTTCCTGGGAGAATCCCACTACTAATTATTATCCGTTTGGAATGGGACTGTTAGTTCCTACTCTTCAACAAGTTTTTAGTCCACCTGAAAACCTGTCACTTGTCTATGAAGGAACTAATTTTGGTGTGAGACCATTTCAGATGCTATGTTGGTTCTGTGTTATCTGTGTACTTACCAGCACCAGTGTTCACCTCCAGCAGGTTGGCAATGCAGGATTTCCTGCAGGCTGAGACAGGCCGAGGTTTATGAAGAAACGTAAAATGTTTAGATTGAGAACCAAATAAGAAGTACTGTTTTACCAAGGATCAATGTATCTATTGTGTTTGAAATATTTAATTTGGAAAGTATATTGCTATTATAGAGCAGTTCTAAAATTAACTAAGCTTGCAGAAGCATAGTGAGCTTTCTTTTAACAAAAAATAAGATCATAAAAAAAAATCAGTTTTAAGTGAGTATTTAGCAGAGGAGTTTCTACAGTAAATAGATTGTATTTCAGACAGAAGTGACTGATACTAGTTTAAAGCCTTGCTTCAAATGAAAGTTGTGTAAATGGGTTAGAACCAGAAAACTGTTAAGGTAGGGAAAAAAAGAGTCAGACTGTGTAGTTGGAGTATTTCTGGAGCATGATAGGGTTTGGTTTTTTTTTTTCTTCTTGATTTAACAAGTTGAAAATCTGCTGAATAATTCATGAAGAGTGGAAGGGCTGAATCTTCCTGGAATGATATACAGTGTGCGTACTGTGGCACAGGAGAAACTGCAAAGCTTTGTATCAGTTGCTGCCGTTCCTGCTGCCGATTGCAAGGTGCTGCTGCTTTCGGTGTTTTCACAGCTACAGAAACCTCAGTCGTGCACTGGTCTGCCAACAGCCATTTGCCTCCCTATGGACCTACCTTCACTAGCTACAATCTGTGGAATCTCTTGCTGCCTACCTGCCTTGGACACTGCTGTTCTCTGGATCGTCACTGCAAACTGTGTTTTCTGCACCTTGCAGCTTGTATGACTGAAACCTGCCTTAGAGTCTCTCAGCTGCACATCCTCCCGTGTGCTTGGTGAGGACTCCTGCAGCTGAACTTCTGACCCAGACAAGGATGGGATTTACAGGGCAAAGTCAAAACTGAGCTGCATTCAGCGAGATGCCCAACGCCTCTTCCTGGAGTGCTAGCTCGCCTCTGCTGCTGCTCTGGGAGGACTCCTCCGGGACCCGCATCTTTCTCTCGCTGCTCTACGCAGTCTTAGCTATCTCAGGGACTTTATCCAATGTGATGGTCATCTATTTAGTCTTCTCCTTCAAGAAGCTGCAGACAACCAGCAATGCCTTCATCGTGAACGGCTGCGCGGCAGACCTAAGCGTGTGCGCCCTGTGGATGCCCCAGGAGGCTGTGCTGGGGCTGCTGCCTCCCAATTCCTCCTCCCTTCGCTCGGCGGAGTATCGGCTGCTCCGAGGGGGGCTCCTGGGCCTCGGCCTCACCGTCTCGCTGGCTTCGCACCTGCTGGTGGCTTTCAACAGGTACGTGCTCATCACCAAGCTGCCCAGCGTGTACCAGGCCCTCTACCAGCGGAAGCACACGGGCTGCATGATCGGGCTCTCCTGGGCCCTCGCCCTGCTCCCGGTCCCGCTGCTGCCCGGGCTCTGGACCCTGGGCTCGGCCCAGTCGGACGGCAGCTCTCGCTACACCGCCCTGCTCCTCGCCCTGGCCGTGCTGGGCCAGACGGCGCTGCTGCTGCACTGCTACCTTCGGCATCGTGCGGCGGGTGCGGGGCAGCGCCAAGCGGGTCAGCGTCCTCAACTTCCACGCTGCCCATTCAGCTGCCCTTCCCCGCCGCCCGCCGCCGCCCCGCGCGCCCAGCGCCGCCTCAGCAGCGTCTCCGTCCTGCTGCTCTGCTGCGTGTTCCTGCTGGGCACCCAGCCCCTGGTGTGGGTCAGCCTCCTGGGCTTCTTCCTGCGCCCGGCGCCGCCGGCGCTGCAGGCCGCCAGCTGGCTGCTGCTCTGCTCGCTCTCGGCGCTCAACCCGCTGCTCTACACGTGGCGCAGCGAGGAGTTCCGCCGGGCCGCCCGCCTCCGTGCTGCCCCGCGCCGAGGGCCCGGGGGCCGCCCCGCGCCCCAGCGCCGCCGCGCCGCCGCCGCCGCCCCGCCCTGCCCCGCAGCTGCCGCGCCGCCGCGGCACGGCCACGGGCACGGCCACGGGCACGGGGAGCGGGGCCAGCGCCGCGGCCGCCCGCGCTGAGGGACCCGCGCGGGAACCGCTGAGGCCGCTCCGTCCGCCGGGCAGCGAGCCGCCCCGGCCCCCCTGCGCGCAGCGCTCCTTCCTTTACCGCATTTCTCCTGTCGCTCCTCTCTGAGCCCGCGCACTTCTCCCCAGCTCCCTTTCCCGCCGCACGGACAGGCAGCCGCAGGCTTCGGCTGCTTTCCCGAGGCACCGGGACGGACACCAGAGCGGTATGTCCCGTCCGCCCCCTCAGCCCCGCTCCCGCTCCGCCCCCGGCAGCCGGGCAGGACTCCAGCCGAGGCGGTGGATTTGGGAATCTGGGAAAACCGGTAAATATGGCAACGCACGTAACTGTTGTTATGCTCTAAAGATTTCAGTATGAGACAGGCATCTAGACAGCTCTT